CATGTGAGAGACAGATTCCATAGTCCAGGCAAGTTACTAAAAAGGAAAAAAATTAAGAATTAATCCTTGGAAAAATAAAATAGAATTCAAAGTCGCTACAAAATAATCATCTGAAATGTTTGGTTTTCAAGTACAAATTATAAGACATGGAAAAAAACAGTAAGTTGTGAAAAGGGGGCAAAAAGTAGGAAGTAGAAAATAACTAAATCAGCTCAGATATTGTATTTAGTAGACAAAGACTTCAAAGCAGTCATTTTAAGTATGTTTAGAGAATTAAAGGAAACTGCTCAAAGAATTAAAAGAAAATATGATGAAAATTATTTGACAAATAGGGAGTCTCAATAGAGAAACACAAACCATAAAAACAATTAAATGGAAATTCCAGCATTGAAATGTACAATTACCAAAATTAAGAATTCACAAGAGGTATGTGAAGCTAAGGCAGAAGGATCACAAGTTTGAGGCTAACCTAGGCTATATATTGAGACCCTGTCTCAAAAAGAAACAAGCAAAAAAAAAAAATTCACTAGATGGGCTCATCAGATTTTGAGATAGTGGAAGAAAGAATTAACTTGCAAATAGATCAATAGAAATGATTGTTTGGAGAACAGAGAGAAAAAAAACCATGAAGACAAATGAAAAGGGTCTGAGACACAGGGTGATGTTAAATTTCCCCGCATATGTGTAATGGGAGCCTGAAAAGGAAAGAGAGAAAAAGATTGAAGAAATATGACTGAAAACTCCCCAAATGATGAAAAATATTGAATTATAGCCAAGCATCTTAACAAAAACATCAAATTTAAAAACACAAACAGAGCCAGGCATGGTGGAATAATTTGAGGGGTATAATCCCAGTGCTCAGGAGGTAGAGGCAGGAAGACTGAGAGTTCCAGGCCAACCTGGGCTATACCAGACCCAGTTCCAAAACAAAACAAACACACAAAAAAGAACCACACATGGGGCCACGCATGGTAGCTGGTGCTTGTAATCCCAGGAGGGATCCCAGGAGGTGGAGATAGAAGGATTATAGTGTCAGGCCAACCCAAGCAAAAAGTTATTAAGACCCTATCTCAAAAACAAGCCAGACATGCCTATAATCCCAGCTATGCTGGAGGAGAAGGTAGAAGGATTATAATCCAAGGCCAGCCCTGTCAAAAGTGTGAAACCCTATCTGTAAAACAAACTAAAAACAAAGTGACTTGGAGCATGGCCCAAGTGGTAGAACACTTGACTGAGTTCAATCCCAGTACCACTGAGAGAACGAGAGAGAGAAAGAGAGACAGAGAGAGAGAGCGTACCACAGAGAGCACCACAGAGATATATCATAGTCAAACTGCTAAAAAAATAAAATGAAATCAATTAAGAAAATCTTGAAAGCAGCAGGAGGACAATGACTCACTCAATATAGGAGAATGACAAAATGATGGATGAAGGACTTCTGACTTCTCAGCAGTAACACTGGATGCCATAAATCAGTGAAATAACATATTCAAGTGTCAATCAAGAATTCTATACCCAATCCAACAACAGTCTGGTATCATTTAATGACAAAGATACATTCTAGAAACTCCACTGTTAGGCAATTTCATTGTTGGGCAAACATCATGAAGTATACTTACACTAAATAGAGTTACCTATCACTAGCAATATAATCTTAAAACACGCAGCCTGTCGTTAACCAAAACATGCTTATACAGTGGCTGATTATTCTTCAAAAGTGAGTTTGAAGGAAAGATACATCCAGAGAAGCAAAATTTAAATTTCATTGCTAACAGAACTTTCCTAAAAGAAAAAGGGGAGATGACACAGCAAGATAAGGCAATTACAAGTTTTCTACCATCACCTTCCCACAGTCAAGACTACCCTTTGTAGGAGTCTGGAAGTCCACCAGGGAATTTCTAGCACATTATTGAATAACAAAATCCAAGAGCTGGACACTGGTAGCTGATGCCTGTAACCCTAGCTACTTAGGAGGCAGAGATCAGAAGGATTGCAGTTCTATGCCAGCCTGGGCAAATTTTTTGTGAGACCCTATCTCAAAAAACCCATCACAAAAAACAGCTGGTGGAGTGGCTCAACATAAAGGCCCTGAGTTCAAGCCCTAGTACCTACCACAAAATATGTAATAAAAACTATCCAAGAATATGTAGAGGGGCTATGAATTGAATAAATCTTCTTTTGTATGTTAATTATCTCAGGTATTTTGTCATAGTAACAGAGCTAACTAATACAAGAGAGTAAAAGTAGTTTTACCTTATGCACCTAAAGATGGCAGAGTTCACAGAGTCATGAGAGGCCCTAAGAGCCTACAATTTCTCCCATTGGGTAAAATGAGAATACAATAGACTCTTGCTATTGGCAGGTGTATGGTCCAAGGACAGCTCTGTGGATAAAAACAACGCACACTCAGGATGCATAGACTTCAGGTGCTATATACTTCTGATGTTTGATTCATTTTTTTTCCTGTAAGGTCAGCCAACTTCTACTAAAGACTGTCTCACCAGGTCTCAAATTGTCACTTTTCCTTGCTTTTGGGGCAGCATTTGCTTTTGCGGATGCAGATTTTCAAAGAATCCAGGGCAGGGAAACACTCAGTAGATCACACAAGATTTAAACACAACTGACAATAACGCAGGTCTGACTGAGAGCCTTCCCCACATCCACTGAGCTGCAGAACGTGCATTCGGGAAGTTAAGACTTTTTTTTAAATTTCTTTTGGGTTGGGGCCATGGCTCAAGTGGTAGAGTGCCTGCCTAGCAAGCACAAGGCTGCTTCAAACCATGGTCCTTTCTTAGTAATGTCTTGTTTTTTGTTTTGGTGATACTGGGGTTTAAACTCAGGGCCTCATGACTTGAGCCACACCTCCAGCCTCTATATATGTATATATTTGTCTTATTAATATATGTATGTATATATTTGGTGGTACTGGGATTCGAATTCAGGACTTCACATTTGCTAGGCATGTGCTCTAACGCTTGAGCTATTTCGTCAGGCCTGTTTTGTGTTGGGTATTTTTAAGATGGTGTTTCACAAACTACTTGCCCTGGATGACATGGAACCATGATCTTCCTGATCTCTGCCTCTCAACTAGCTAAGATTACAGGCATGAGCCACAGCACCCAGCTTCTTACTAATACCTTGAGAGGTTGGTTGAAAAGCAACTTACTCATATAAATAGAAAAGTGACCTAAGACTGAACTTCAATCATTTTATAATAAGCATAGGGAGGACGGGTCCCAAGGACAGTCTGCTAGAGAACTTACATGTCAAGAGGCCATTTTGTGGACCTCCACTGTGATGCCATCATGTTTCTGGGTCACAATGTTCCCATTATCTGCTTCTATACACACCTCAGGAATATCACTGGGGTCAGAGGTTAGCTTAGCTGCTTGCTAGGCTAGAACTGATACCACCCTAACACGATCATCTGATAGGATCCCTGGCAATCCAGATTAAGGACTAATTCTTCATCATAACCTCTAAACGCTGCTCCAAGGTCACCTCCATCCTGCCCATTGTCTACCTTGACCCAGGACTCTGCAGCACTACACATCCTTCTCTGCCCTGTTTCTTTATTCTTAATGACAGAAGCAAGGAGAAAAATCTCCAATTCACACTAAAAATCCCAACTAGACAAGATAGGGACGAAGTCTGGAGTAAGGAGCCCCAGCCTCCCATATACAGACTCAAGAAAACACTCATGTGCTCACTCATGCACACCATGGCTGCACCGGGACCAAAGGCCCTTGCCTGTGACAAGAGGTGAATTGGTTCAGACTAAACTAAAAGACTTCACCCACCTGGGGTGCAGGTAGAGGCTTTTCTAGACCACACCCACCTGCCCTCCAACACTCACAAGTGTTGGGGATTTGACCTCCAAGCTCCTTCCCAGCTCCACTCTGCCAAGCCCGGCCCATCAGCCGCCAGCTCTTAGGGTGGCAGGGCCAGTGCCTGTCATGTACATGACATTCAGCCTCAGTCATGAAGGGAGGGTACTGATCACAGCTATGTCACATTGCTCATAAAAATTGCATTTATCCACAAGGCACTCCGGCCCCTCCGGAGGGCTGTGGGGACCAGACCCAGCACCTTGTCACCCAGGCATAATCTAAGTATACATAAGTATTCCTCATGAACTGCATTTACACATAACCATGGAAACCAAGAAGGACATTAAAAGATAATTTAAAGGCAAAACTATTTTTTTATTTTGTTAAAAATTAAAATTTTTTTTGCTATTAACTTAAAGGGCATGCATTCATACTTCTCCCGAACAGGATGGGGTGTTGGGAGGCAGGCCTGTGGCCACCACAAAGACCCACTGTCCACTCCAGCTAGTCAGGCCGTTAAGTCCAGCACCAGCAAGGCTGGCCACACATGCACTTCAGTTTTTCCTGCAAAGAATTCAGGGCAACACACCTGAGCAGCAGACAGGGACACAGGACAGGCTGGAAGGTCCCATTCTGGAGAGGCAGTGGGCAGGTGAAGAGGGAATGAATGGAAGCAGCAGGCAACATTCTGCCTGCTCCCGGGGCTTCTCTCCTGGAACGAGAGTCTCACTGGTGGCTCTGCCAGGCTAACAGTCTTGAACTACAAACCTTTTAGGGGCAGAAATGGTAGAGAGGGGTGGAGATGAAACACACTGGGCAGCAACCGCTGTAGTCCAAGACAAAGTAAGATTCACAGTCACTTAAACAGGAAAAAATGTCGTGGGGCAAAGCTACAAGAAATGGGGAAACTGAGTCCCTACAGGAGTGGGAGGAAGTGAACCACTTCTTACAGCCAAGCCCACAAAGTTAAGGGACAGTGGTGGGGGACAGGACAGGGGCAGGGACTGAGGCTGTATCTTGCGTGTATGCTGCCTTCAGGCCTGCAGTCACTGTTGAGCCACTGAGGTCTTCCGCACTACACTGCGTGAGCGCAGAGGCGCGCAGAGTAGAGGCCGAGCCTTTCCCACCTCGGATCGCCGAAGGCGCAGAGCCGCCCAAGGCCGCCCTGACCTACACGGGCGCTGCAGGTGGCGCCGCAGTCTCAGAGTTGCCAGGGGCGAAAGAGCTATGCCCGCGCGGGCAAGGGCTGGCTTGGGGGCCTCCTACTGCTGAGCCTTCCTGGCCCCAGATGCGAGCTGTGCGCCACAGGCTGGTGCTGTCGAAAGTCAGGATCCTCTGGCTGGTGGTGGCCTTGGCCGAGGTGGTGAGCGGACAGCTGAAGCCACTGACGCCAGCGGTGCTGCTCCTGGTGGTGGCCATTTGAGCGGCACTGGAGAGAGGCTGGTCAAAGGGTCTGGCTGCTGCAGAGCTCTGGAGCGCCCCAGGCTGGCTAGACTGAAGTCCTGGGCCCATGACTCCAGGGAAGCTGGTGGCAGACACAGGGGGAGCCCCAAAGAGGAATGGCTGGGAGGTGGAAAGCATGGTTCTGGTCGAGCTGCTTGTGGTACTGGCCAGCCTGTTCACCCCAAAGCCAAAGGAGAGTTTTGAAGCAGTGGTGGTGACAGAAGCCACTTCGGAGGGAATGGTGGGCAGGCCAGTGAAAACAGGTGCAGTGGTAAAGGGAGTAGTTAGGTTGAAGGGCGTTGACAAGGAAACAGAGGTAGGTGGCCCCATGCTGCCAAAAATGGGCTTGAAAGTCAAGGTGGTGGTGCCAGTGGTGGCGGAGAGGGTGGAGCTGGAAGAGGCTCCAGGTGTGGCTGAAGGGATCCAGGACATGGGGCTGTCTCTCGTGCTTTCAGGTGGGGTCAGGAAGAGAGGCTGGGATATGGGACAAGCAGAAGACAGGCCAGGAGTGACAGGGGAAGGAGGGTTGGGAGGCCGGCTGCTGTGCACCTCAAACAGGATGCTATTTGGGGTGCAAAGCAGTGGGCTTCCCAACCCTTCTTCCCCCACCACTCCTGGCATGTCTTCTCCTGGCTTCAGGGTGGGGGCGGGGTCCGGGGAGCCTTGGGCTTTTTGCAGAGGTCTCAGCCTGAGGGGCTGGAAGTGACTTGGTGTTCATGACTGCTGTTATGGAGGAAGCAGGGGGCAGCCCCAGGAAAGACACAGAAGAGGTACCTGGCAGGGGACCTGGCAAGGAAGAACCACGAGGGTCCTGAAGGCCAGGTGTCTTGTGGGGAGAAAGGGCTAAAGTGGTGGCTGTCACAGCAGGCTCTGGGAAGGCTGGTGGACCCCCAAGGCTCTCCATCTTCTTGCAGGTCTCCAGCAGAAGGTTCGAACTGAGGGCTGGGAAGGAGGCCAGCGAGGATGCAGGACTAGCTGCAGGCAGGGTGAAAGTGACAGAGGGCTGAGTAGGCAGTGACTTCTCAGGAACAGAAGTGGAGGCTGCATCAGTCTTGTCCTCCAAGGCCTTGTTAAACCACTGGAACCTCGCCTTCCTCTCCAGGTCCAGGTCTTCTGCAGTGATGGGATAGCCAAGCTGAGGAGGCGGAGGCAAGGTCAGTGGAACCCCTCGCCTGCAGGGCAGCAGCCGGGTCTTCCGTCTTCGGCTCCCTGACATGGCAGGTGTGGATGAGGAAGTTCTGGAGTCCTTCTGTGGCCCTGTAGTCCCATCTGCACACTTTTCACCCTGGAACTCCTTGGTGGTCCCCTGTGGAGCTGAAGAATTGGATGAATGACACAGCCCCTCTTCTCTTGCTTTCTTGACTGGTCTCTCTGACATCTGGGAGCCAGAAAAGGCCTGGCTAGAAAAGGGGGGTGAGGTGGGACCCCCTTTCTTCCACAGCTGTGAGATGCCTACTGTAGAGCTGTAGGAACTGGTGATGGCATTGCGGCTAGAGCAAAGGATGTCACCTGTGTGCATGCTTGACACACAAGAGGTGCAAGATCGCTTGCTCCTGAGGTCTTCTGAACTCTGAGAAGTGAGGCCTCTCTTTAGGGACTCAGGCTTAGGCACAAAAGAAGCAGGGTCCCCGGTAGCCAGCAGGGGTTCAGATAAGGCATGTTTGCTTGCAATGCCATCAAGGTACCTTTTCTTGTGTCCCTGCTCATCAGCGAGTATTTGGTCTTCGTCCTTCACGGTCCTTTTCCTCCTGTCTTCGAGGGCACTTGGTGGCAGCTCCTTTGCACCCGGGTCTGGCTCTGCATGGGCTGCAGAGCTGACCATGTGCTCGGGCCCTGGAGGACGCGGGCGCTTGCTGGGAGTGGGAATCCGCACGGTGCCCAGGTGGCACAGCATCGTGGAGTTCCGCGCAGACAGCACGGCCTTCTGGTGGTCACCGTCCCAGCACACGGTGGGCAGCGCCCCCAGCACGGAGTAGCGGGCCTGCGGGATCGGGCAGCGCAGTTGAGGCGTGATGGCCAAGCGGCAGGATGAGGAGGGGGCACGGTCGCCGCGGGGGTCTCGGAGCAGCGGGGTGGGCAGCTACGGGCAAACGTGGAGGACGCGCTGGGCGGCCAAGGGCGGCGGGGAGCGCGGGGACGGCCGGTGGCCGGGCCTGTCCTGTCCTGTGCACAGGGCGGCGGGCCGGGCTTGCCCACGTAGCCTCCCATGGAGGGGAGCTGAGCGGACGTCGGGGTCGGGCCTGCGGACCGTGCGGTGGGACCTGTGAGCGGCCGCGGCGGCGGCTTTAGGACTTCCGTTGACGTCCACGTGGCCGGAGGCGCGGCGATCTGCCAATGGTCGTTGACACGGCGAGTTCCCAGCGAGTGGGAACCTGGCGCGCGACCCTCGGGGCTCGCGGCTCTGTCCCACCCAGCTTGGCACTGGGCATCCGCTCGAACCCCAGCGGTGACAGGCGGAGCAGCGCCCCACTTCACGTGCTTTGGGCCGCGGCAGCGCTGGGGACGCCCGCTCCGGTTTTTTTTGTTGTTTTAATTGGCCACGCTTAGACGAAACAGCTGTAATAAATTCGCAACGGACCTACTGTATAGACTGAGCACCCTTGAGGAACGCTGCCTGAGAGGCCCAAGTCTTTCTCACCCCTCCAAGAACCACCAGCATGTGGTTAGGAGATGCTGGGAACAGGAAGATAGGCTACAGAACTTACTAACTGCTCCACAGGTTCCACCAGGAAGTCTGCCCTTAGGCCTCTTCAGTTGCTTCACCTGGGACTGGCCCTATCCTGGCCCCCAGACACTCCAAATGCTACACATGCATCATGTCCGGGGGCCTAGCTTCCCCAGTGTGCCCCCACAAACAGCAAATCCAAGCGTGTTGTGCAGAGTGCTTACTTTAGGATTGGAAGAAGGCACACAAACTAGCATTTTGGGGAACCCAGCAGGGAAAACAAATGGGAAACTCTTAGCACTCAGCCTGGCTTTGCAGGATTGAAAGAAGCTGTGCAATCATTATTCCTTCCCAGGAGGGAACAAGAGGAATGGAGTGGGAATATCCTGGGGAAAGTTTTCAGACAGCCTCAGAATCCCTAACTTGGCTGTTTGAAAGGCGTCCATTTCCCAAGACTGGAAAAGGTGACTTCTTCAAATGTGAAACAGCAACACAAGACTTCAGAAACATGAGAAAAATTAAGGAAACAGGGCACCCAAAGAAATGAAGAACTACAAACTACCAGAAAAGAATTTAAAATTTCCATCCCATAGTCTCCTGCTATTGTAAATGGGAGAAAAGCAAGTTATGCCTGAAATCTTTTGAATAAGGTGATGTTTATATAATTATTTTGGCATTTACAGAATTTAAATCATACTGACCATATTTATGCATGTGAGTGCCACACTAAAACTTTTCAAATTATTTTCAAACTAGATGAATGCTATTGTGCTTGCATTCATACATCTAAAATTACAGTGAGGTTTCAAGTTTGCATTATATTGTGAATCATCTCTTCATGTCTTTTGCCCATTATGCTTTTTAGTAATTTGTAAAGGCTCTGTAATGCAATGGCCATTTATCTCACATTTGCTACAAATGTATCTGATTTGTTGTCTCTTTTCTAGTTCTTTCCTTTCTGTTTATGATTAGGAAGGCTCCTTCACCCTGAGATCAATAAATATTTGCCTGTCCTCCACTTCCCTCACCCAGTCATCTCACTTTACTGACATCTCTAAAGCCTAGGGACCAACGATATTGTCCTCATTCCATGAGTCACCTGACAAAATTATAGTGACAATCGGATAAAGGCTTTTTATGAAAATGAGTTGATCCTTCTTAATATGGCTCATGATTTGAAATCCTCAGTCATCTGTTTTGTTTCTTGCCAAAATATACATTTATGTCTTCTTCATTCAGCCACCTAACAGCTGTGCCCATTTTTTTAGGTGTCCTAGAACGCTGATGGCGAATTTCCAGGGCCACGCTCTCCCAGGGAGTTTCTTCTTGATAATTGGACTGTGGTGGTCCATAAAGTACCCACTGAAGTTCTTTCATGAAAAGGGGAAAAAGAGCAGGCTGAGCCAGCAGCAGCAGCGTCTCGAGGTCATTGAAGCCGCAGTCAGGACTGTGTTTTCTGTCATTGGTAAGAACAGAAGTCATTTGGCCCAGGGAAGCTCCCCATCACACCAGAACTTTTAGTCCATTTTCTGAACCTTGTGAAATAGATATTTTACTGGCAGAGTCAACAGGACAAGGATTTTCAGGTGGCCACATGGCCACTATATCATAACATCCATTGTGTCAAGAGTGTTAATAGTTAAAAGAAACTTATGTCATATTCTCTCTGAAAAACTACCAAATAAACTACATTCTTTGCCCTACGATGAAGGTATAGAAAGTTGTAGGAACAGAACACATACTGTATGAAAAAGATAAAACAAACAGAAAAAGGAACAAATTAGAGTAAGCTCATATACATGTTATGAGAAAGTACTAATTTAGTTCATTTAAGAAAAATCATCTTCCCCTCCCCAAGTGTGTCTCCTTTTAGAATCTTGGGGTAGTTAATGCCCAACTCAATGGCATATCCTCCATCCTCAACTCTCAAGTAATTCTAGAGAGGGGGAGTTTGTGTAGGGATGCTAGTAAGCCTGCAGAGGGCTGCCTTTAAAGGGATTTTCTTTTACTCTGCCCATCCTGACAAAATCTCCCCACTTCTGCTGTTCTCATCATCCTTTTCATCCACTGGTGGCTCTTAAGGAACAAGTAGCAGTGAAAGTAACAAGTGTTCCACCTTGGGGGTCAGCCTGCACCACAGTAGCGAGGGATCTTATTGTGAGATGGCCTTCTGCCACTTGCCATCCTTGGCCTATATTTCCCAGGACAGAATGAAGCAATGACAGTAGCTTCCCTTGGACTAAGTAAGGCTTGCCTAGCTTTGCCTAATCCGGCTGAATTTTCCCACTTTCAGTTCAGGTATCAGAAAACTTTTTCTGGAGTGAAGTGGCCAGGACTCTATGGCTCAAATGTGCAACATCAACTTTACCTAAACAAAGCTAGAAGTGTTTGCCATCTTGCTGGGTGGAAAAGATACTCATTCAACAGCTAGCTCCTGAGTTCCTACCACATGCCAGGACTCACTGTTCTGAGTACAGGGATGCCTTGCTTCTCAGGGCCTCCCGGGTCATTTTCACAAATTCTCTGATCCCTTACAGGTGAATTCAGAAAGGAGCTTGTTTGAGAAACAAATGTTTGGGGAACAGGGTCCAGAAGGTTGTCAGAGGACTTTTCAGGCTCCCCCCAAAACATTTTGGGTACCAGACATAAAGACAAATCTCCCTTAGAAGGGATAAGTACTGTGAACTACCCTGAGCCACAACTTCACCCATCTTCTGGCCCCAGTCTTGCCTCTCCTTAGGCAGTATGGCCAGAAACATGCAGCAGGGCTTTCACCTTGTTCAGTGTTTCACAAAAAAGGGCTAGTGGAGAGGTTCAAGGTGTAGGCTGAGTTCAAAAGCCAGTATGACAAAAAAAAAAAAAAAAAAAAAGTAAAAGAGGGCCAGAGATGCTCACAGGTCACAGAGCTTGCCCTGTGCTGAGAAAGGGTACTCACTTTACTTCAAGTGGATCCTCATAGGCACACCTGGGAGCTGCTTCCACACCTCAGGCAGGTACAAGGGTCTTCATCACAGTGCATCTCTGCATAGATTCTTCATTTAGCCTAAGTATTTCTTCCTGGGAACTCTTCACTTCTCACCTGGCAGGGGAGCCCGTATGAGCCACATACCACCTAAGTGGTAATGCTTTGTTTTTATCTCTGGTGCAGGACAAATTTCCTGGCAACCTGTGTGTGTGTGCATACTGTTACTACTTCTTCTTCCCCATCCTCAACCCCAAAGGAGCAACAAAGACCAAGTGTCTATGCAGATTACTCAGCAAACATTTTATGCTAAAGTGGCAGCACTCCAGGCAGCAAAGTAGGTCTATTGAACTGTAGGTCACTGTCACCCACATTTGGACTTTGTGCTCTTTCGATTATCTTCTGTTTGTGAGCTACTCTTCCCTCTTCACTTTCTACTCTTGCTTTCCTGCAGGGATCCTGGCAGAGCAGTTTGTTCCAGATGGGCCCCACCTCCACCTCTCCCATGAAAACCACTGGGTGAAGCTAATGAACTGGCAGCACTTCACCATGTACCTGTTCTTTGCAATCTCAGGCATCATTGACATGCTCACCTACCATTCCACCCACATCGTGCCTTTGGGGGTGGACAGATTGATTATGGCTGTGGCGATATTCAATGAAGGTAACTTAGTGGAACAGATGGAGAGAAGGGAGGAGAAATGGACAGGTGAATTTATGAGCGATCAGAAAATGTAAGATGACGAATGTGGAAATATAATAACCTTCCCTAGATACTCCAATTCTCAGCATCTAAAACCAGATTAGGACTTGTTCCTATACTCTAGATTGTCCAGATGACATATTCTATAAAGCAGTCTACGAAATCCAGATTTGTAGGCAGTTCTCAAAGCCTCTGGCTAACACTGCACACACCCTACCACCTTCCTGTGTGTGGGTACACATGTGTATACACACTCATACAAACCAAATGCCCAAGGCTGGTCGAATGCTACCCTGCAAGACAAATCCTTTTGGTGAAGGAAGAGAAACTGTGCACCCCACCCTAACCTACCACCTAGGCTGTTCTGTCTAGCCCCTATTAGAAATCTCAGGAGACTTCAGTGTATTAGTGAGCTTTCCATCCCTATAGCGATATACCTGACAGGCTATTAATGAAGAGATTTGTATTTGTGGATTCAAGTCCACAATTAGGTGGCACGATAGGTTCAGCATCTGGTATGGAAAACACCTCATGGCAGGACTATATGTAGGCGCAAAATGGTCACTTTTTGAACTATGAACAGAGACTGAGACGGGGTCCCACAATCTTGAGGACACAACCCCAGTAACCTAAAAACCTTCTAATACACTACAGTGGGGCCCAAACCTTTATATGTGAGAACACTGAGAGACACACAAACAGTGCCCATATACCCGCAAGAGGGCATTACATTATGCCTCATGCTCCTAAGTGCATGAAAAAGCATTTTGTCATCCAACAACCTCACCCACTTCAGTACTTCAAAGAGCTGAAAAGCACTGAATGAAGGCAAAACTGAACTTCATATCAGCCCCAGGATCCACCTACCTTGCCCATCCTGTATGGAACCCTACCATGGGTTCTGTAAAGAGATTTAAAGATATATCCACAAAATAAACCTTATCTGCATCTGTTGCCCAGTAATGTTGTGTAAACCTACTTCCTAAATGCTGAAAAATCTAGCTTTGACACAGATATAGGAAGAAATTCTAATAATGGGAAAAGCCCAGAGTAAACTGTCCCAGGTAGAAACAAGCAAGTCTGATGGCTGTCATTTGGTTTGTGGCAGGTTTTCTCTTCTACTACCACATTCATAACCGACCTCCACTGGACCAGCACATCCACTTGCTCCTGACATTTGCTTTGTTTGGAGGGAGTATCAGTGTCTTCCTAGAGGTGATCTTTCGAGACAATATTGTGCTGGAACTTTTCCGAACCAGTCTCGTTATTCTCCAGGGAACCTGGTTCTGGCAGGTGATTATTCACATCAACACTCAAATGGTCTGAATTGAGAAGCCCCTTTGAGCAGACCCAAGCTGTTGCCTGAAAATGCACCAGACATACCATGGGAATGGGTTCAAATGGCCCTTTTCTCCTCACATCCACTCCTTGACCTGTGCACTTTCTCCATTAATATCCTGCTGATGCACCATTACCTTGCACAGGTCCCATCTGCTAAATGCTCACATGAAACACAGGTCCTACAGTTTTGCAGCTTTTAAATCAGCCTATACTAATTTAGTAATTTTCCTTGTGTGAGAGGATTTCTGTGCTCATGGACACGCAGGAACCATGAAGTAGTGGGAAGCATGAGTCACTCTGGTGGCCATGGATGAAGGCTAGGTTGCTTCTCAGGACAACTAACCACAAGATCAACTTCTCCATCTAATCCTCCAGATTGGGTTTGTGCTATTCCCCCTTTTTGGAGCACCTGAATGGGACCAGAAGGACGAGCACAACATCATGTTCATCACCATGTGTTTCAGCTGGCACTATGTGGCTGCCCTCTGCATTGTGGCCGCCAACTACTCTCTTGTTTACTGGTATGTTTGAGAAAAGGTAACTTTTTTCTTTTGGTAGCACTGGGGTTTGAATTCAGTCTTGCCTTTGCTAGGCAGGTGGCACTTGAGCCACACCTTCACCTCATTTTGCTTTAGGTTATTTTTCAAATAGGGTCTTGCATTTATCCCCAGGGCTGGCCTCCTGATCCTATTTAGGCTTCCCAAGTTGTTGAGATAAGTGAATACCACCATGCCCAGCTTTTTACTGGTTAAGATGGGAGTATTACTCAGTTTTTCACGATGCTGGCCTAGGACCCTGATCCTCCGGATCTCTGTCTCCCATGTTGCTACGATTACAGGCATAAGCCAGTGTCTGGTTTAAGAAGGTAACTTTTGCCAAGTTTTTTACTCCAAGCCAACCCCTAAATATTGCTGATTAATTTCTACCACCTAGTGGATACCAACTATACGTGAGGCACTCTTCACTCCCAGTTAGCTATCACAACTTTGTAAACAAGGGTGACAAGGTTTTTCAAAGTTAAATGGCCTGAGGCTGGTGGGGTGGCTCAAGTGGTTAAAAGTGCCTGAGTTCAAACCCCAGTGCCATCAAAGTTAAATGGCCTGACTGGGTCACAGTAACCTGATAGATCCAGTTTTCAAATGTAGCTCTAACAAATTTGAAGCCTGTGGTGTGATGGGGGAAAACTCTGAAATAGGAATCTGTACTGAATTCTAGTCCCTGCTCTGTCACTAATTTATCCTGGACCCATCACCTTTCTCTGGACTTGCCTACTTCCCAGAGATGATGTGACTATCGCAAGATACACTAAAGCAGAAAGTGCTCTCTAAGATGCTCTTCAGCTGTATACAGACTAACAGCGATTAAATCCTATGCTTACTATGACCCAGGCACCATGGAAAGCACGTTCACTGTACTGCCCCATTTACCCTCAGTGCTTTATGATGTACTTTGAATATTTTACAGCAAGGAAAAACCAAGGTTTCAAATGGTTGAATAACGTGAACAAGGTCACCCAACTAGTAAATGGCAGAGCAGGAGTAACCTTTTAGAATATGGTATTACCGTTCTGTTGCTATTACAACTGTCTCTGCTTTTCCCCATGTTTTTATTTCCCTAAACCCAAGGCAGACATATTTTACCCCGAAAGATCCCACACAGGCCAACAGAAGAGAGCTAAGGCCATGGTTTCCTTCAGGTCTGCTTCCTGGTCAGTGATACAGCAAGCTGGATGGCAGGAGACCTAAATTTAGTCTCAACTATGACATCTCAGTCACCATGAGTTCCTTTATGAAGCAAGAGACTGAAAAAGTAAGATAGACATGCAATCCCCGTATTTAACAGATGTGGAGAAAAGACTCTTAAGAACCAGTAGATTCTTTCACATCCTTGGGTAATGGAATAAGGGACTTTTCTGGCTAATCTAATCAGTTCTTTATGGTTTCTCTATTAAAGCCTTCTGACCCGCATGAAGAGACATGGAGGAGAAATCATTGGGATTCAGAACCTGAAGTCTGACCACACTTACCAGGCAGCTCTTCTGAGTGGCTCAGATGAGGAATGAGATCGAGTCACAGAGAGGTGGAGACCTCCTAACCTGTTGACCTGCAGCAGCTGGACAGAATGTAGCTTGCCCCTCCACTTTTTTTTGGCGTGCTCCTAGGGTCCATCCATTTGCATCTCCCTTATTTAATACAAAGCTGGAGGCTTGAATACAGGAAATTAGATTTTGAGTGATTTGTACAATTTTGCTGTTTAGATTTTTAGGCATAATTTAACTTAAAGTCTGTATTAGCATAACATCCTTCATAAAGAAAAATTAGTATCTATGAGCAGCAAGCCTGTGCATCTCTGTGTAGAGGAATTACAGATTCTGAAAGCCTAGAACAGGAAGTGACCTTGTGGAGGTGTTGAGGAAATACCATCAAGACAAGAAACCAAGCGACACTCAGAGAAGTAGAACTCAGATTTTATTTTACGACGGCAGTCCCAGATGAGCTCACACTCAAAATTCTGGGCCCCCAACAATGAATTCACAGGATTCTTAAAGGGCAGTGCAGGGCATCAAGTTACAAGGAATGTGTGAAGGTTAATAGGTGAGCCAGTGCTGGGTGAGAGACCTGGGGTTGTTTAGATAGGAGCAACAGGGAAGATCTGCTTTGGAAAGTCTGTTTACAGGAGACCAAGGAAGGAAGGAATGGGGAATTCTCTCTACATGGGGCCTTTTTGTCTTAGCCCTGAACTCATTTTATGGCTTAACTAGCAATTTCTCGTGTCCTACGGCCTGCTTCAAGAAAATCTTCTTGTTTAGAAAAAGCACATTATGTATGTATGAATCCAGCAGGACATGGTGCTGTTTCTGATAACTTGCCCCTCTGTTTATCAACAAAGCAGGTAACTGGGCTGGGAATGACTCAAGTGGTAGCATGCCTGCCTAGCAAGCATGAGGCCCTGGGTTCAACCCCCAGTGCCACAAAAAAAAAAAAAAAATAGATACTTTGTCAGAAAGATGTATCAGGACTTACGTGGATGACAGTGCCATTAATTAAGAGCTACAATTCTCAATTTTTTTTTTTTAAAGTAAAGCAATTCACAACCTTTGGTACTTTTTTTTTGTGGTACTGGGGTCTGAACTCGGGGCCACTTTGAGCCATTCCAACATCCCTTTTGAGTGTGTGTGTGTGTGTGTGTGTGTGTGTGTGTGTGTGTGTGAAAGAGAGAGAGAGAGAGAGAGAGAGAGAGAGAGAGAAAGAAGGGTTTTTTCCAAGATAGAGTCTTGCAAACTTTTTGTTCAGACTGGCTTTGAACTGAGATCCTCCTGATCTCTGCCTCCTGAGTAGCTAGGATTACAGGAGTGAGCCTATGGCGCCTGGCTGCTTTGGTACTTTAAACATTGCCTGTTAAACATTTTCTAACTAGTGTACCAGAGTATTGCAATACCATAGTTGATAAGGACCAAAGTTAGGTAATTTTTAAAAATCAAGGTATTAGTTACTGGTCCAGTGGAGAATTGAAAGTCAGCTTTTCTGACTTATCAAAGTTACCCTACTAGTGAATAGCTATACAAGAAATCTGTATAATGAGATATGGAGAAAAATGTCAGGTTTGAAAGGCACTGGATTTTAACTTAGCTGAAAACAAAGGATATGAATTCTGAATTCGTCTTGGTTCTGGGTATTTTTTTAAGAACTTCCTTCAACAAATATCAAACATCCACTTTGCACCAGCACTGAAATTGTTACAAGGACTGATGAGGTTTGTGACCATGAAGAGTCACCAGTCTGTCATCAGGGAAAGCAATGTGGGCCATTTTATGTGTGTGTATATACATATATATACACCCACAGCGTGATGGGTGCTGTGAAAGCCAAGTACAAACCATGAAGAGGGGGAAAAGAAATGGGGAGTCTGTCCTATGGAAAAAGCAGATTCCAGGCATGGAGAATAGCAGGTTTAACAGTAAAGAAGGCACAAAAGACTGTTGGAAATTAAACATATAAAGTTCTACAAATGATAAAAGTGGGCTAGCACAAAGCTAAAAGTATCTCAGAACCAAATCACACCTTTGCCTGGTACAGCATTTTTGATTGAGATGCATTCTATCTCACTTGGCTCCCACAACCTCCTAATGTAAGCACATGAGGTCCCTCCCACAGGCTGCATAGCCTATGGTCACAGAGCCACCAGGTGGCAAAGCCTGTCTCCAGCATGACTTGAAAGTCTGGTGTCTCTCACATCTACCCTGCTAACCTCACACACATCTGGTAAAGATAATTTATATTATTTTGCATGTTCTTTGGAAGAAATGCTGTACTCAAGTGAAAGGTTAGCCAGACTTTCAGAGTTGAAGTCACACTTAGGGACTAACAGTGAGTTTACTAAAAACATGAATTTCATTATTAAAAAACTCCTGGGTCCCCTCTCAGGATCTACTTGGTTTATCAGCTGAGCAGGAACTCAATCATTCATTCCCCAAGTACTGGAGGACATACTAACAACAATTAATATAAAATGCATTTTTCCTTAGAAATTATAATTAGGAAGAAGAACCTACAATTTGGTTTTACTTTTGTAGAAAACATCTACATCTGAGGGTGTCTGGGCTTTTATTTTGTTGTTGTTTGAGGCAGGGTCTCACTACATAGGCCAGGCTGACCTCAAACTCATGTCTTCCTATTGTTCCTTCCTAGAGTAGTGCTGAGATTATGGGCATGTACCACAATGCCTGGCTTCATATTTGAGATTTTTTTTTTTTTACAAGGGTAGAAATACTCTAAGGAAATACAGTATTTTTCAGAGTGAAGAGGTTAAAATGTGAAGATCAGATATAAAATATTAAAATTTTTTTTGCTGTCCTTCACATAAAAGGTTTGGGAGACCGTCATGGAAGTGACAAGCCCTGGCATAACATTCTTAAATGTGGTGTTAAAAGTACAAATCCATCAGAACTCCATTCACCAGAACCTGTCTTGAACACATGGCTAATAATTCTACCAAACCTCTGTCAAACGGAAGCTCACCAGAAGTTCCTCAGGAATTACTTCCTGCGAAAATCCACCACACTGACCATGACTTGGAGTCCCCTGAGTCTGCGTACAAAAGCAGCATGTTACAGATACTTGGGCTGTCACTGACCACCACCAGTAACTGGAGGCTCCATGCTACACCATTAACAGGCTGGTAGGGCCAAAGTTCAACTTCCTAGGGCATCAACCCACAATGGCATCTTGAAACAGACTTGTTTTACATCCCTGCTCTAGGATACACATGTCTGCATGTATAAAGCAGACAGGCACAATTGGGTGACTTCAGTATACAAAAGCGTGGTGTAGGGTAAGGCTGAGTGCCAAAGCTATTTCTATGGGATTTGTTAAGTAAATTCAGAAAGGGTTTGTTTTTAAACAGCAGTGATTATCTGAGACAAGATATCTCAACTTTCTTTTTTGTATATAGAAACTGTCTCAAGGCTTTCTATGTGATTTGGAAATAACAAGGTGCAAGTATCAGAGTATTGTAAAGCAGGTGAACTCTCCCTTACTCGGTAAAAGACTGTGTTTTTCCTCACAGCAGAAACCTACCTCTGTCGTTGCCAGTCTTATTCCCATGCCATTCCTCTCTGTACCCACTAAGAGCTCAATCTCACCTTAGCCTATCATCTCTGCTCTTTGTTGGCTTTCCTTTTTTTGGGGGGGGTTGTGGGGGACTGGAGTTTGAATGCAAGGCTACATGCTTGTAAGGCAGGTGCTCTTATCACTTCAGATGCACTTCCAGCCCACCTCTGCTTTTTCTAACCCAGGCTTTCCACCTCCCAACTCTGTGATCAGCCCCAATGCTTACGAGGACATATTCCAGCCATCCTCCCCTTAAGAATTCAGCCCAAAGGGAACTTGTCTAAGTATCAGAAGACTGGATTTTCATCTTAGTTCTCTTTAACTTCAACTCAAACTCACATCTTACACTTAAAAGGGGGCATGGAAACATCTATTTGACAGAAGTGCTATGAAATCAAACAGAACTGCAAAGCCGCTGTGTAACCAACAAGCCACTCTAATTCTCTCTGCTCCTCCGCAACTTGCCAAATCACTCAACTTTAATCCAGCTGCCATTTAAGCAAGGCTATTTCTATTCTATGGCCTCCAGATCTACTTTCCCATCCAAGCCCCATAAAATACATTCACTAAAGTTCCACAGATTAAAGGTAATTTTTTTAATAATTTGCATACTTTCAAGAGAGACAGAGAAGTCCTATGACTTCAGAAAAGATTCCCACCCAGCCCTGCTCCACATTCAGAGGTCTATAGAGTAGACCCTGGGTAAATGGAGGTGTATGGTTCTAAGGAGACCGCTGTTGAGGGAAAACTGCAAATGCTCAGGATGCACAGAGTTTAAACTCAACAGGTAACAACACAGGACTGACTGAGCTTCACTGCATCCACTGAGCTATTGCATACGCATAAGTTATTTATTGACCACACTTGGCCAAAACCATAAATAAGGCAGGGTTACTGTACTGGGAATGACCAGTGCTTAAGTACTTAAGACATTTTAAAATATCATTCTGTGCTCTTCCTGTAGCTGATGGTGGCTGAGAAGTGTGAACTAGCCAGTAATAAGTGAATTTAAGTCCAGAATGTTTCTGAAGCCCCACACCCATCCCTCCATTGGAGCAATGGTCAACAAACTTTTTCTTAAAGGTCAATTAAAAGAAAAAGTTTGGGCTTAAGGGACATACAGTCTCTGACATCTACTCACTTCTGCCTTCTAACTCAAAAACAATCATAGATACTACATAAGCGATATGAGATGTGTTCCAATAAAACTTTATTTACAAAAACAGATGGCTAGCCCTAAGAGCCTGGTTTACGACCCCTTCTTTAGAACAAAACAGAATGCACAATCTGAACTGTAAAAAAGTCTATGCTTCAAAAGCAGCATCTCTGCTGTCATTCCCCTACTGTCTGTCCACTGGCTCTGGACTTGCATGTGAACAGGCCTGCCAAAGGCAACATCAGCAAGTGAGGGTCTAGACACGATCAAGATCCCAAAGCCCATCTTAGGAAGGAGTTGCAAACTAATCTCACTTCAGGGAATCCACATTACCTCACCTCCTATGTGATCCCCACCTTACATCCTCTCAATTACTATGTAGTTATCGAATCAGCCACCCACTTGCTAAGATTCTTCCTATTCTTTCACTCTGGTCAAAAGAATAAGTAATCAGTTTAGGAGGGCTAAAGCTTAGTTTCTATTTGATAAAAGATATACAATAAGTTCTTAAAAAAATAAGTTACACAAAATTTTCTGGATACAAAACTCATATCCAGAACATAAGTCAAAGATGACCAAAAGCTAAAAAGTACAACCCTCACATAGAACAAAACTTATTCACTGCCTGCCCACTCTCTGGGCGTTCTACTTTTAGGAGAACTTTGGCTTGTATGTTGTAACTGTGACCTCCCATGACTCTTAACAGATTCTTCTCCTGGACTGGTACAGAGCAGACCCAGGAGCTCTGAACAGGACCATTCTCACATTCAACTGTAGAATGTGATAGCAGAATCTAGGCCATAGTTGCTATCACCCCTGACTGGTCTGCTTCAAGCAGACAAGCTGAGAGGAATGAGGCAACCTCCTTGCTCCTGTCCTTTCAGCCAGGACAGACCAGGCCTGGTCTCTTATGGAAGCCACTTCTCTGTCACTGTTGTTCAGGTGCTTGTTTAGGAGATGGAGCTGTGGTCACAACAACAGTGGAGACAGCTTTGGAAGACCCAGATGCTGTGCCTTGTTGGAGATGGGATGCAGGGACTGTCTGGATGCGCACCTGTTTGCAAACACAGAAGTCTGGTCAGTAGACTGCAAGTGGGCTCATCAGTTAGGAACAGCAAAGGAGGCGGAGAAACCTGATGCAGCCAAAAGCCTGCTGTGGACCGTACCTGTGTGGCCTGACCTTGTTGCTGAAGCTGCTGCAACTGCTGGGCAGTGAGGAAACTAACTGGCTTATTGCCAGCAATGAGCTTAGTACCTGCTGGCATGGTCGTGAGGATGATATTTCGGCCCAGTCCACTGAGGCTGAGGAGGGAAAGCAGGAGTAAGGTATGACCATATCATGGGAGAATCTGACATGCCTGCATTTAGGCCACACAGTGAAGGATAGTCTGGTACCTGATGAAAATTCCAGCATTCTGGATTCAAGTGGAATCTAGTGCAGAGAACCTTTCTTCCAGTTTCTATGCTTCCCATGGCAGAAGCCCCAATAGTGCTGGATTTTTAAGATGGCCATAAGCTCTATACCCTGACCAGCAAGAGTAAGACAGAGCCCAGAAGGGCATGTGCTCTGCAAAAAGCCCTCCCAGCCATGCATGGTGGCACCTGAAGTCCCAGCTACACAGTGGGGAGAGACAGGAGGATCACTTGAGCCCCGGAGTTTTCAGTCAGTCTGGGAAACACAGTGAGACACTGTTTCTTAGTAAGAAAAAAGATCCAGAACCCTACTCCCCCAAAAAGCCTTATCACACAAGCTGCTTTGAGACTGCTTTCTTTGTTCCCTTTATCCAAGTTTAAGTGAGGGCCACAGGAAGCTGTCATCCTCCAACCTATCTAAGTTCACAGAATAAATATCAAAAGGAAGCTCTTTCACACCCTCCTGAGTATTGCCTCACTGCCCCCACACTCCTTGTTTTCTACCACTCAATATATTACTATTATTCCTCTCCCCACTCTACAATGTAAGCCTAGAGATAACATAGAATTTTGTGCTTAATCACTGCACCTAAAACAGTACTAGGTATTCAATAATCACTGATGGGTATGACAAAAGAGAAACATCAACGTGTGACCCCCAAAATAAGTGACCTTCCCATTCTGTGACAGACTGATATTTACACCCCAAAGACCCCTACCCCTACCCTCCAAGTTTGCTCCTTCATTAAAAACAGCACTCACTTGGCTCCAAGGTTGCCTTTGATAATGGGGGCTGTGACCACACTCTTGCCCTTCATTGGCTGGCTAATCACAGAGAGTGGAACTGTGATCCGCGTAGGTAGTTTCCCCTACAGAAACATAACAACAATCAGCTTTTGAGGGATACAAGATAAGAAAAACCACCAAGTACCACTGTAAGGGACAAGAAGTAAGAGCAAGCACTACACACACTTTTAGCACCTATTACCACCAGGTTCCAATATTCCTGAGGTTTGGGCCCAGGTAGCCCTAAAAAAATGGCTCCCATACTGAAGTTAGGTGTCATTTGATCTATCATCCTCTTTCATGCTCCCACTACCTCACCATGGGCTCAGAATCAACAGTCAAGAACCATGGCTATTAACTTAGATTAATACTTAACCCAAAAGGTTATGTATTAATCTCAAGTAGTTTATATCAGATATTGTGTCACAGCAATGCAAAAACTAATACAACAAGGGGATATAATTTCTTATACACTGTTGAATTTGATTAGCATACACTTTATTAGGTGCTTTTGTATCTAGGTTCTTAAAAGATATTGACCTGCAGTTTCTTTCTTGAAATGTCGTATCTTGGCGGGGGGAAAAATGCATACACATGTGAATAAATATAAAAATGATAAAAGAAAAAAAAAAAGAAGAAATGTCATATCTCTTTTTGGTTTGAGGGCAATGTCAGCCTCATAAATGAATTAAGTGTTTGCCTTTAGACTACTGTATCATATCTTTTATAAGTGTATAGAACTCACCAGTAAAATCCATTACCAGTTGTATGTCTCTGAAAAACTATTAATCTTTTAATTTATTAGGAGCAGGTCTATTGAAATTATTTCTCCTTTATGTGACTCTTGGTAGTTTGTGTTCATTATGAAATTAAACCATTTCACATTTAAAGTTGAAAAAATAAAAAGAGCAACCACACACACCTGCATTCATAGGTATAAAGCCTGTAATTGAACCACAAACAGAGCGTATGCTCACTTGGCACAGTCCCAGATCCTATTCCCCTGGGAAGGGAGAGTCTTATTGTCTTGGTATCTCACAGCACAAAGCAGTGTTGGGTCCTGTGTAGTAACTAGGAGATGATGGTGAAACAAGTATGAAGAAGGTCAGAGGAGCTCAAGAGGGAATAAAATGCAAAGCCACACCTTCACTGGAGCTCAGGCTCACTGGGGAGCGGGAGAGGACACGAAAAGCAGGGCACAACTGATAGAAACAAGTCACATTCTCCAGGTGCTTTGTTTCTCCCAGAGAAAAGAGAGGTTAGTTAAGGGCCAATAATAATAAACTCAACTGAGAGAAGAGTCCAATCCCAAAGCTAGTAAGGCCCAAGAAAGAGAGGATGGGAGGGGAAGATAGGGGAGAGAAAAGCAAATGCAGCTTAGTGACTTCAGGAGAGATAAGATGGTCATTGCACCAACTTATTCTTAGGCTACCAGGATTCCAACAGTTGACTAGTAATATAGTATGTACATTAAGTATGTATTTATCTTTTTCTTCTGTGGTGCTGGGGATAGAATCCAAGGTCCTGAATATACTAGAAAAGTGCTCTACCTCTGAAATGTAACTCCAGTCTGGTAATCTATATGTAGAAAAATCTAATGTAAATCCAATTGCTTTTTAAAAAATAGTACAAGAGACATGATTGACAGGATGCTAAGAAAAGGCACGGGCATTTCCTGAGCAGGCTAATTCTAAAGAAGTCAGGCACTCCACTGCAAACTGTTACAGGCCCCATGTCAACCTCCATTCAGCTTACTCACCATTTGTAGCCTATTAAAAGAGCACTTAAAGACGTCAGGAGGCATTTTAAGATGAGATGGTACCTCCACATAGATTTACTCAAGGCTTTACTTTCTCCTGAAAAATGCCTACAACATCTCAGACCACAGTATACAGACGAGAACTAGCTTGACTGCTGAGTGGGGAACAGCATCATTCACTACTTCCTGCCCCACTAAAATCTCTCCAGATATATTTCCTAGACTGAGTATAACAGGGAGATGACAGTGGGTTGGACCTTTCTATATGATGATTCAAGAGGGCAAAAGTAGTTTCCTCACTTTCTTATTTTACCTGCTATGATATGGAAACCTAAATAATTATTTTCTTTTAAACCATACTATGTCAGAGTTTTTTGGTTTGTTTAATAATATATATGTATTTTTTTCCTTCATCACCTTGGCTTTAACTCAAATCATTGAGCTTTTCCTATGCTACTTGCTTAGAAAGGTGGGGTCATGTTTTATATTCTCCACTACAACAGTACTCCTAACCTTAAAGCTAAAGAACACACACACACTCTCTCTCTCTCTCTCTCTCTCTCTCTCTCTCTCAAGTGGATATGGGGATTTGGTTTGTGATAAATGAGGCACTTCACATTGATTTTGGAATTAATTTGAAAAATATGAGATCCCTATTTCACAAAGCTATGTTTCAAATGGACTATCAGTTATACTTATTATACTCAAAATTTTAAGAAAATAAAGGTTATCTTTATTACCCTGAGGAAAGGAAGACACAGGCACAAAACCTAGAAACCATGAAAGAAAATGTTGATAGATCTAATCAGATAAAACTATAAACACCCATGGAGCAAAAGGCTCCAAATCCAAGGTTAAAAAATGACAACTGGAGGCTGGGAGCAGGGCTCCAGTTCCACTAATAAAAAAAAAAAAAAGGAAGAAAAGATGATGTTTAATTTCACTTGTGGTTAAAGAAACAAAATTGAAAAAGAACTCCCTTTCCTCCAGTAAGACAGGAACACAAAGTTAAATAGCCTTTTCACATGAACCAGCCAGCATTGGTTAGGGTCTAGGAGAAACAGTAGACTTGCTGATGGCTATGTAAGCTGGTATGGCCTTTTTGGTAGCACAATTAAGAGTACCAAAACTTTCAGTGTATACATCTTCATGACTCATCCTAGCGAACTCTGCTTCAGAAAAACACTTACATGTGTTCAAACACATTCTAGAGCATTACTGTGGCAACTCTGGAAAGGTATCCTTCTACCGAATCCTTTCTATGCATTATTACTTAAAAGGGTAAGGTTGGTATCTGTGTATGGCCTAAAACAATCCCCAACACATTTTTTAAAATAAATAAATAAATAAAGCAAATTATTGGGCAACATATAATGTAAGGGCTCTCACAGTTTTGTTTTGGATTTTAGTTTAGCTTCCCCGCCCCTGCCCCGGCCACTTCCCAAACCCACTATATACATGCATGAAAATGCTCAGGAAAAGGACTGGAAGGATAAATGCCACATTACTAATTAGCTCTGGTACAGTAAAAACTGGAGGGGGAGTAAAAGAAATTTTATACTTTAATCTGTACTTCTGGCACTGTTCTTTAACATTTTATAGGACAAATACTATACTTTTACAAATTATGTTTCAGAAGAAAATAAAAAGTCTATCAGTAAACAAATCTATTTGGGTCAAATAGGTGGTACAGATTGGACCTTTGTAGAAACTTCATTTCTACAAAGAAGTTTCCTAGTTTTGAGGGAGTTTCCTGAGGGATGGGGAGCTGAACAACTTTAGAAAGTTTCCTAGAATGGTGGTGTGTGCCTAGAATCCCAGCACTTGGGAGGCTGAAGCAAAAACATCATGAGTTCAAGGCCAATCTGGGCTACACAACAAGGAATCACCTCCCCACACCCAAAAAAAAAAAAAAAAAAGTTTCTTGAGCAGAGAGCTGCTCTTTACCACTGACATTACTCACAGCCTGGGATGTAGACACAACTGTGGTGCTGACAGGGACCTGCCGCACAGTGGGGGCTCCTGTCCCGATGCTGATGGGGGTGCTTGTGGCCCCAGAAGCCACAGCAACAGTTTTGGACACGGTGGCATTCATACTGGGCAAGGACACCGCTGAAGAATGGACAGATCCAGACCCGCTGGCGACTGCGGCCCCTTGTTTGGCATGGGTTGCAACGGTGATGGTCTGGCCTGCTTTAGGAGGCATCATTCCTAGGCCCTGCACAATGCGGATTGTGGCAGCCGGTTTCGCTTCTGAAGAGGCCACCACGGTGTTTTTCCCCTTCTGATCTGCCACACTCACACCAAGAGCTGGCATCAAACGAAAAGCTGAACTCGAAGGTTCTGTTGGCTTGAGGTCAGGAGTCACTTTGACCACAGTGGTACCTGCTGGAGCGGACGAAGGGGCACTAGCTGAACTGGCCTTGGCAGGGCTATCAGTTGCATGGACAGGATTGGAAGTGACATGTAAGGTAGCAGAGATGCCTTTGCCTGTAGTGCCGCTTCCTGTCCCGAAGAGGTCCTGGGTCAATTTGACTGTGGTAACCTGGGACTTAGCCAACGTTGCCATCATGTCTGGAGTGATTCTCAGCACAGTTTGGCCCTTGGCATCTGTGGTGATGGAAGAGGGTGGCAGACGCAGCACATCCTTACCCTGGATGCGAAAGTTGGTGGCTGTGAGTGGAATGCTATTCCCTGTCTGAGGCTTCACACCAAGCTGGCCCGTGATTGCCACCTGGATGGGTAAAACACAGCACTGATGAAGGGATTCACGATGCCAAGTTGCTTACGTAGCAGAACTATGCAAACCTCTGCTCATGAGTATTTTCAACATACACAGAGCCTCTCTGTCCCAACTCCCTGCATGTCAGGGGGTGCTCTTCTCTCCCTTTCTATTTCTACCTGCTTTGCCCTCTTTACTTAAATAAACACTTGCTAATAAAAAAATTTAAGTGGAAAGAAAAATAATAAACATGCACAAAAGTAGAGAAGAATACAGCAAACCCATATACCCACCCTTCATCCATCTTCAAAAGCAATTACTTTGTCAATTTTGTTTCATCTACCTTTTCCCACTTTGGGGGGAGGGGTAAGAGGGAGGAATTGGAATTTTGTTCCTCCCTGTCCCCCACTGGATAAGCTAGAGATTAAATCTAGGGCCTCACTGATGAGCAATATCATATTCCCAGTCCTTAGGAATTAGAATATTTTAAAGTAAATACAAAATTTTCATTTTATTGATTAGAACTTATGATACACATGGCTAGAAACCCAGAAAAGCTTTAAACTTAAAAAAAAGAAAATCACAGTGTTATCACCACTGTGCAACATAACCACTGTCAGTATATACTCTTATTTCCCCAACTGTCTCACACCTGTTTATTTACAGTTGGACCAACTCCACTTAAGAGCAGTAGTATGTGTGGCAGTAGCGGTGAGCATGGGCTCTGGAGTCATCTCCCTGGGTTCACACAGCAATTCCAACAGAAAGTCAATTCCCCACAGGTTAACACATCAAACCTTTTAGTCTACTCAAACTCTTCCTCTCTTGATGGCCACTCTATTGGACTGCTGCCACAAATGCAAGCATGTTGTAACACTGGCCACCCTAAAAATAACCAACCCTGGTTCTGTTCCACACCTTCTCTTGCTTCCCTTCCCTCCAAACTCTACTCTGGCCCAATTCTCTGTTCTCTTCAGAAGCAAAATTCCTCTAAAAATTACTTGAATATGTAGTCTCTGCTTCTTCACCTTATGTTCTTTTGAGCCCATCCCCAAAAGGCCACCAATCCCCTAGACATAGTTGGGTCCACTCAATAGCTAGTCTCATCTTGCCCACACGTTCACTCCACAATGATGTTGCTCCTCCTGCATGAGCACACCTGTCTGTCTGTCCTGAAGTCTCCACACTTTTTCTTCCCTTTCAGTAAGTGATACCACCATGTAACCAGTCACTCTAGCCAAAGCTCACAGAATCATTCTCAACTCTCAGACACATACTCAAGCCACCTGCAAGCTGCACTGGCTGCCTTCAGCTTCCAACCACCTCATCTGCTCTCACATCATCTCCCACCTGGGTATGACAACACCCTATCTGATTTCCCGGCTTCCACTCTTTTCCCCACATTTCACTGCACCCAGGCATCAGGGGTTTCTTTAAATGTAAACCAGAAACTCAATTACTGCATGTTGAATTATATGGATGGAAACAGAAGAAATGTCTTTGGCAACCCTAAAGATTGCACTACCCTTGGTGGGGACTCACACCTGATGTACCTACAAAGGATCAAAAATGACAAATGTTTTAAGGGGACCCAGTCTCTTTAGGACCTTCCATCCTAGGGGCCCTTTGCTATAAGACACAAGAGTCAGGTCAGCCTACCTGCTTGATGATGTTCTGTCCTGTGACGTTCTGAATGACGGCAGTTGTGGAGGCACTTGGAGCAGAGCTCCCAGGAGAACTCGTAGCTGGCTTGTTCACAGGGCTGGCTGCAGCAGAAAGACTAGTCACCGTGAGCCCAGTCTGTCCAGGTCCGGGCCTCTGCACAGTGGCTGCCGCAGTCTGCCCCTTAACCGGAATGGTGGCCACGACTGCCTAGTTCAGGGTGTAAGGCAGAGAGCCTAATTAGACACTGAGACAGAGACCAGCACAGCAAGCAGAGGCCCCACATATCATCACTCAGCAAGTATTCATTCTGAAAGTACTTCTGCTCTCCGTATTTAAGGTTCACCACTCTCTAAAATGGACACTGTAAATTTCTTGTTTTACAGAACACCTTAATTTTCAGAATGTCTTTACATTTAACATCTCATTTTATATCTATAGCTGAACACAAATAGCTCTTTTATGTACAGTAAAAGAAGCTGAGGAAAAGAGGATACAAATCCTCTCTAAAATCACACAACTAGTTAGATGCATGGCTGAGACACAATGGAATGAATCTGAGATTTAGACTCACAAGCTTTGGCTTTATATCCCACTTCTACCAGAACTGTGATGCTAGAAAGCTAGGCAAATCACTAAATTTCTTGGAAGGTCTGATACCCAACATGGAAAATAGAGGATCTACAAATGTTCACCCAGCTTTAAACATTAAATGAGATGTTTCAATGAACTTCATCAGTAGCAACAATCTATGACTCCAGGCCATCCCGACTCTGCCCCTTTGACTCATCATCCCACCTCGGGGTCCTGCAGCTTCCCTGTTACCTGGGGAACTACTTTGGTCTGTGTGGAGGTGGTTGGTACCCGGATCTGTGGTCCTGCTGGCATCTGTGGCAGTGTTGGTGCTGGCCCTGCTGACTGCTGGGTGACAGCAGGAAGGCTAGGCTGGGCTACCACCCGTACCTGGGGCAGTCCCGCTGAGCCTGAATGGCTCACGACCCGGGCAGTGGCCTGAGAGCTGGGTGGAGTCTGGCTGGAAGGTGGGGAAAGCATCGTTCCTAGCTGTGGCATTGTTGGTGAGGACACCAGAAGAACACTAAGAGGAAAATTAGGGGAAAAGAAAAACCAAAAACTTAAGACAAGACTACAGAAGGACTTGGAAGGACAAAACAGGAAAAGAAATGGAGGCACTTACCCTGAGCTAGACTTGGCTGGTTCTGAGACAGTGGTAGGTCCACTCTTATTCACCGACGACATGGGTGGAGGGGAAATAGGGGTGGTAGGCAATGCTGGTGTGGTGGGGGTTACAGGCGTAAGTGGTGTGGGAGGCATGCTGGAGTCACTAAGACTCATTTGGCTCTGCTCAGAAGGGCCACCGCTGAGAGCCTTCACAGAGCTCTCCTTATTACTGGCTTTCTGGAAAGGAAGAGAAAGGGCGCACCACAGGAGTCATGAAGGTTCCATGAGGCTTCCAATGCACTGAGTTAAGTAAAAACTGAGTATCTACCCCTGGCTGCCTCCACCCCAGAATCCCTGTAACAGATGCTCTTGTAAGGTCACTTACCACCTTGGATGGAGGCTTGGGCTTTTGCTGAAGGGCTTTTCTGGCTTTAGCTGCAGCTGCTTGAGCTTGGTGAATCCTCTCTGTAAACAAGAGTACTGAACTTCAGCAAGTATGTGACCTTAGAATACTAATGAGGGGACTTCATTAAAAAACCAAGGCCTCACCAGGCACATGCCTGCAAACCCAGCACTTAGAAGGTTGAAGCAGGAGGATCTCGACTTCTAAGCTAACCTGAAGACCCTATCGCAACACACAATGAACAATACCACCAAGCACCAATAGCCTTGATCCCACCTCTATAATCCTGGCCTGCCTGAATATTAATAAAAAGACTAAGAGAACTGTGATAGAAAGTCAAAGCAGTTCACATCCAGTTGGCACACTGCCCAAAGGCCTTGCATACCAAATTCTTCCTCGCTCCGGTCCCGATGCAGATAAATCCACAGCTTCCGTCCAATGTCGTATTTCACACAAGGGTCTTTTTCATAATGCAGTCGATCCAGTGCACCACTCACTACTGTGTTCACCTAAGAACAGAGCAAAGGAAAGTAAAGAAGCAACAAGTCCAATCCAAATAACAGAAGTTATTTGGACTCCAGAGAAAAACCAGTGGATGAGTCACAGCTGATAAATAGATTGTATCTCAGCTTAGCTGTGACCTCCCAATGGCTCACCAAATCATCTGACAAAACACAAAATGATGTAAAATTCTTGATCTGTTTTCACTGTAAAGATATTGCGAACTTGGTAACTGTAACCGCCTTCCCTTTACTATATGCTGAGAAAAAGCTTAAAGCCAAATCTGTGCATCACTGACAGCAAGGGATTTTGGTCATCACTATCTCCATTTTTCAAGATGTTGTTCTTTCCCCTTCTCATTCCCTTCTGCATATATGTGTGTGTTGTTGCTGCTGAGGTAGGGTCTTTTTATGTATGCCCATGCTTCAAACTTGCGATCCTCCTGCCTCAGCCTCCTAATTTAGCTGGGATTACAAATACTTGCCACCAAGCAAGCCTAGCTTTCTTCATTCCGTTTTTTAAAAAAATTATGTTACAAGCTGTGGGTGTAGCTCAGTGGTAGAGTACTTGCCTAGCACATACAAGGCCCTGGGTTCATACTCAGCACCACAAAAACTAAAATTAAATTAAAATAAAAAGGAAAAAGTGTAATTTATATTTCCTGTGAAGTATTTTCAAATGTGTTCTGGAACAAAACCAAGCAAAGCTGTTTCTCCAACTTACCTGAGTGCTGGTGACATCTGGTGCAAGGAACTGGGAGTCCTTAAGAAGTTCACATATCTCTGCCCGAGTGCCTTCTCCATTAGGCAGCCGAGCAGCAGCATCCCGAACTGACAACATCAGAAAATGCAAAGTCCAACAGTCAAGCAAGGCCTCAATGGAGGAACATCTACTGACCTGCTATGGTGGAGTGGCATTCCCCTGGAGATACTGAACCTCACCTGACTGCTGAGTCAGGTGCACACTGCCTTCTAGTGGCCAGAAGCTCTGCCACTGGGGTTCCCTACACACTCTTCGTATTGGGATAGGGAAAAAATACTACACCTTCTCCCCCAATTATGAGCAAAGACCATAACCATTTATTGAATGTGCTGTGATGCTGTAACAGAAATCAAAATATAATTTCCACTTATCTCTGTTTGGAAATTACCTAAATTATAAAAGAACTGTTGCTAGATCGTCATTTATTATCATCACAAATACGTATTTCTGCACATAAATTTATTTTAACATCTTAACTATTTCAACACAACTGGCTTCTTTTGTAACTCTAAACATTTTTATTCTGTACACTTAAAAAAAAGCATCAGTCTGGAAAGCAGTTCAAAGGTTCCACCAGACTGCCAAACGGATTCACAGCACAAAAACATTCTTAACAAGGTAAAGTCCTGGGCTGGTGAAGTGGGTCAAATGGTAGAGTGCCTGCCTAGCAAGTATGAGGCCCTGAGATCAAATCCCAGTACTACGAATACAAAAACAAGGAAAGCAAAATTCTACATTTAACTACATAGCTGGGCCGTGAGCAATTCCTGAACATAAATATGAATCCAACTTTAGGAAGAAACACTGATTCTTGGCATCAGTCTCTTGAGTCAGAAACCCGTCTTGCCTCCCAAATTTCAAAGCTTCCAAATGCTATACTGGACCCTCAATGCCATACCTGGGCGGTAGATCCAAGATGTAGGATTTGGTGTAGGGAGGACAAGAGTTGATCCGAGAAAAGTTTTGGGATTTAAAAAAATGGAAATTCCTAATAATAAATATACATCACATACCAAGAGACAGAATGGTGACATAGGCAGGCCGGTCCGAGCGCAGCAGCGAATGCTCTCGAGCCTTGTTGAGGGAGGTCTCCTTGTCAAACACACCTTTCACTGGCCCCACCACAGACTCAAAGCCATGCATGCGAAAAGTGAATGCCTTATGGGGTTGGCTGTACCTATAACGTTCCTACCAAGAGAAAAGGCAGAAAGCTCCCAAGTCAGAATTAGTGGGGCTCCTTCTAGAGTTCCCTTATAATAAGGAGACCCACGGAGACATTAAAACAGGAAGGAAACAGAAAATCCCACTAAGTCAACCACAGTGGAAACAGATGGCCCTCAGAGCTGATCACCCAGCAAAGGACAAGGAAGCAAAATTGTGCTATCTGGAAGAAAAGATCATCAAAATGGTTCTCATTCTCTTTCATCACAGTACTTCTGCCACAACAAGCAATCTTAACTAACAACATATCTAAGGCGAAGGGTATGAATTTCCTCCGAGAAGCTGGATGCAAGAAGAATGCTTCTCTCTGCATGGCCTCACAGAAGCAAAGATTTACACTGGCTTCTAGGTACTTCTTACCTGCTCCTGAAAAACCCGTTTTTCCTCCCCTGTGCTGGGCCGCACCACATAGTCAGTTCTTCTGGAACATAAAGAATTTTGTATCATCTCTGAGAACTAGAACGCAGGTGACAGATCCAACACCCATCTTCAGCACCCAAAACTATTCCTCTGGCAATATAAAAAAATGTGTCTTCATAAGTATTCAACTCCCACAAGTCTACTTTCCAACTCCTACCTACCCCTGCTGGTATTTCCAAAATTACTCAATTCTTAGAATCCAGAAACATTCTGGATAAACAGAAAAGAGACTGAGATTTTTACCTTCTGTTTTCAGTATTGCTGCTAAGCAACCCCAACCTAACAGCACCAAAAAAATTCAGCCTTAGAGGAACTAAGGTCTTCAGGAGTATTCAAAGACAATTTTCTGCCTCCTGAGGAAAACAGGGTTGAATTCTACAACCTTATTATGTGATTACACATGTGCTGCACTTAACTTAGGTTGGGCCTCTGACAGAGTTTGAAAATCTAATTGTAGAACCACACCAGACAAGAAACAATATGAGATGATGTGACATAGAGTCTAGGTGTCAAGAAATATGAACTCTAGCAGGGATCCTGTTGCTAATCTTTAGCAAGACACTGAACTTTGTACCCTGATTTCTTTACCAGTAAAATAAGGAAGTCAGGTGAGATGAATCATTCTGAAATGGGAACTCAGGAAGGGTACACATGGAAAGTTATGTCCACCTACAAGGTCCATGTGCCTGCAGAGATTCTCTCTACAATCCCTTCCCCCAATCAGGAACCCCTTCCACAGGAACCACTCTTTATTGATAAGCCAGTGTTGCCCTCATCAGATAGGTGAAAATAAGCTGACTCCTAGGGACTCTAAGGTTCATCACAGTGCTAACGTACATGTCAGTAGAACCACAACAGCACAGTAAACCACGGTTTCATGAGACACCACCCACCATTAGAACATTATACTCACACCCGAGGGACAGGTGTTGTGGCATCTGAACTGTCTTCATTTTCTTGCTGGAGAAAAGAAAAACATTTTCAGGTAAATGGACTGAACAATATTCACTAACTTTGAGGAGTCTGTAAACCCAATGAGAAAGAGCTGGTATTTTTTTAAAAATATACCTTACAGAAGGCCTGGTCTTTGGTCTCAAGCCATAACTGGAAGAGTGCAGCTAATTCCTTTTCATTATCTTGGGACTGACCTATTGGAGGGGAGGGAGACACAAAAAATAAGCAACTCTAAGGTCTATTCAGAATCCCACTTTCTTTACCTGCTCTATCTATGCCACAGAGAGAATACATCAGGACCTGTCACAATGATCCTCTGCACGTATACTGCCCTTCTACTTGCTGCATGGACCACCACTCCTGGATGCCACCTCTCCAGATCATTGGTTCAACAGTAGCTATTGTGTGCCAGGCACTACATGCAAAGCCAGAGCCATTTAACGAACCCAGTCTCTGCCAGCATAGTGTTTACAGTCAAGTGAAAAAAAAAAAGAGCATATATTAAAACAATTTTAAAAGTGGTACAGAATATGCTACAATAGATTACACCAGGGCAGTTACCCCATTCTTACAGTGAGAAAAGGCCTCTGGCTAGTGGAGCACAAAGGCATTCTACTACACACTGGCAGGTCGGTAAGAAAGCTGAGACAGGAAAAAACTTGACTCTGCCGCTTGCCTAGAAGGAGAAAAATACTCTGTGCCCATCTTGTGTCACTTTGTTCAGACTCCTAGTGTCTGAACTGATTCGTAATGGTACCTAAATCTCCCTCCCAGGCAAGAATCACCACAGGACCAGTAGCACCAGGGCTGCTGTGTGAGAATGCAGCTACATATCCCAAAGAGGCCAGGAGACTGGAGAACACCCAGTACAACCAATACCACTATCCCCAAGGTCCCCTGCACTCTAATCCCAGGACCACCCTTCCTTGTTCCCGCTGTGCCTTCTAGAAAGACCACTTCCGAACCAGTTGATTTTCCTGTAGCCCAATCTTCCTCTCCCAAGGCTCCCTGCACTCCGGTGTGGTGTTACATTAAGCTAGACCTCTAACCCTCTATCTGTATTCCTATGTGCAGATTCCAAGCCTGTCATATCAATAACATGCCTCCCAATACAGAAATGTCTTTGCCTCTGCCCTTTGATCTTTGCATCACTCTCATTTAGCAAAAATTCAAGTTCTGAACTATCCATATTCTCCATGCTGCAAAATGGTTAACTAATGGCTGCCAGAAGAAAAGGTTTAGGGACAGGCAATGTATGCCCTGACAGGTGAAAAATGAGCAGCCTCCAGTGGCATCTCTGGTCACACTGTTTCACATGGTCCATAATGACTATCTTCCCACTCTCTTTAAACCTCCCTTGTCACCCACAGCAGACTACCTCACCATTCTCATCTCCTACTTTACAACAAAAAGTCAACAGACCAAAATTCCCACAGGGACCACTGCTGCAGATCCATTTCTTCCTTCACTTCTTCTGTAACAAGAATATGACTCCTGCCATCCAGAGCCAATCCTTGCCCCTTCTCAGAAATGTGTTATGATGCATTTTCACTTCTTCCCTGTATTTTCAACCTCCGCTCTCCATAACACACTTCCCATTAAACACAAACTCATCCAAGGTTTCTCCCATTTAAAAAAAATTCCTCAGGTGGTGGAGTGGCTCATGTGGTAGAGCATCTGCCTAGCAAATGCAAGACTCTGAGTTCAACACCTAGTACCCCAGTACCTCCAAAAAAGTGTTTAATTTTTTTTTTTTTTTTTGGTACTGGGGGTTGAACTCAGGGCCTCACACTTACTAAATAGGTCTTCTACCACTGGAGCCATGCTCCTAGTCCTTTTTAATTTGATTACTTTTGGAACAGAGCCTAATGTTTTTGAGACCCACCTATTTATGCTTCTCATGTAGCTGAGATGACAAGGATGCACACCACGCTCAGCTACTGGTTGAGAAGGGGTCTCACTAACTTTTTGTGTGAGGTGGCCAAAAACCATGATCCTCTCACTCTCTGCCTCTCAATTAAGAGGCATGGGCCACTGCACTCAGCTTAAACATTTTCTCTCTTGGTCACAAGTCTCCCTTACTGTCCTCCACTACCCCAGTTAATCTTCCAGAAAAAGTTGTTCAGATTCATTGACTCTTTAACCATCAGTAAATTGTGATTCAACTGGCTATAAGAAGGCAGCCCTGATTGGTGGCATTTGCAGATTTCCATGGTGTGCTTCAAGAGAAAACAAACTCACCACCTGTTCGTTTACCTATTGTCTAGCTGCTCTGCATTACAATGGTAGAGGTGAGTAGTAACAACAGAAAGCATATAGTCCACAAGATAAAGTACTTATTACCTGGTCCTGTAAGAAACAGTTAACTTTCTGCCTTTTTTCTTAACAGGAGTGTTACAGATACAGCCAACCCCATAAGAGCCAGTCATGGTGGAACACACCTGTAATCCCAGCATTTAAGAAGATGAGACAGGAGGATTTCAAGTTCAAGGCCAGCTTGGACTACTTAGTGAGCATAGTGAGTTCTAGACCAGCTGGGGCTGTGCAGTTAAGTTTCTGGCCAGCCTGGGCTACACAGTAAGATCCTATTTCCAAATGCCAAAAGGAAAAAAGGGAAAGAAACAGTGTGCTGAACGAGTGTACATATTCCTGTCATGGCTGACTCCAGCCACCAGCTTGGCAGAATTGGTGGGCAAAGCCAACATCATGAGTCACCTTCAGTTCACACTGTCTTCAGCCTTCATCATTCGCTAAGGAGTCACTCTCACTAAAAAATTCACAACTTCAACTTCCTCCAGGTCCACAAACTTTCACCTTTATCTTACTGAATCTTTTAAGAATAATCTAGGCTCCTCACTTCTTAAAATTCTTTAGTCCTTTGGTTTCTAAGAATTAACAATCTCAGGCTTTTCTCCTGTCTTTATAGCCACTTCCTCTCCACATGCACTGAACTCAGCTGCCTCTACTGTGAGTTTCTCCAGGGTTAGTCCTCAGCCCCATTTCTCTTCACATGATACTTTCTAGGGGAAAGTGTAACTGCACCTTTATTATGTAGTTGGCCCTCTGTATCAGGGCTCTACATCTGTAGTTACTTTAGTTGCATGTTATCACAGCTCACACACTAAGCAGGTTTTATAAATTTAAAACAAAAAGGAGGAGCTTCTTCTTTAGAAATAGCTTATATGAGACTGCCCAATATCTCACCGCACATTATCCTCAATAGCAAAGCCCATTTTTAGAGAATAAAAACTATATTGCATACTAATCCCAAACTGCTTTGGCTAATATAAATATTGATGCTATTCTAAAATATCCCTGCAGACTTAAACTTAGCTATCACCTGACTGCATCATAATAGAAGGGCCATTCCACTTCAGCTTTGATGAGCCAAAGTCCAGTTGGGGGTGTATGGGGTAAAACTCATACATTTCCAGTTTAAGAGATCTTGAAAGATTCCTTCACAGAGAAAAGATCTAAAACTGCCTATCTGTATTAACTGAAAGGCAATAGAAGCTTAGGTAAGAGACAGATAGTATAAATTACTTACCAAGCAATTTCCACTGCTGGGTTTTCTCTTTGAACTCAACAAATGGAGAGAAACTGGAAGGAACAGCTGCAAGAAATGGATCACATGAGTAGGGCACACTGCAGAGAAAGCGCTAAGATCAAAACAAACAGCTTGCACCCCCGAGCTCCTGGAGAGTTTTTGAGTGTTTTATGGTATATCAGGAGAGCAGAGTTGCCCATGGCATGGCATGATGCAAAGGCACATGTACCAAATGAGCACAGCTGCCTTTTACTGAAAGAATTATTTAGACCAAAAAGGAAAAACATAAAGACCTTTCAAAGTAAAGGCCCTTACCTCGGCTTTCTCCAGCAAGATACTGTAGGGCAGGCAATACCAACTCAGCCCAGTTGGGGGCGGCAGAAAACCAGCTGTTGAGGGAGCTGGCTGGAGATGACTGCCAGTCCAAAACCCGCTCCTCCAGCTGAAAGGAAAAACAGAACCCAGTTACCAGCAATTCCAGAGATGTGCCAGAGCTAGCTGGGTACATGTGTCTAGTTTTCCTAAGTCCCAAATCAAGCTAGCTATAGTGCTTTGGGCAGAATCCAAAGGCTAGAGACCACCAAAGATCTAAATAATAAGGTCTGAACTCTTACCATAGGAAGGCTGGCCTGATTCTCCAGCAGCAAGATCTCTAACAGAAGAGAGAAAAAACTGGAAGATATCTCATTGATTCCAAGGCAAGGCTTGAGGTCTTCTAGGGGCCTAATGAGAGAAGAAAAATGTAAGAACAACCTCGAATACATTATAGATTGGCTCAGGTCCCCTAAGCCTCCTACCAGTCGTAAGAACTCAAGAAATGGGCATATGATACATTTTTCCTGAAGGAATACTGAGACTCAAGGCTTACTGTTCCAACATGCAACCAGCCCGCACAAGCCCCAAGGGATTGGGTATAACCCTCTGCTTAACCTCCCACCCTGAATAACATGTAATTTCTATGGCTCACGTACTCTTCCTTGATAGCAGATATTGCCAATGGAGATGGGGCTTCTGAGAGAGGTGGGACCCCTTCAGTACTGCTTAGGGGCTCAGCCAGATCCTCTGCTTCCGATTTGATCAACTTTATTTTCTTCTTCTTCCTGTCCTCTTTCTCCTTCACTCTTTTTTTAAGGACTGCCAAGTCATATAAAGCTGGGAAGAAAACAACACAAGCCACAGAACTACATTTCCTACATCAGGAAGTGATCTGCATATTCTTTTTCCAAGGCCCACCAAAACTAGAAAAGTCTTAATAATAAGAGATTTAGATTTTTTTTAACCAAACTCAATGAGTGATTTATATCTTAATTTTAACATCTAATGATCTGTTGTGCTGATTTTAAATTCATGAGGGTAATAATAAAGGTGATCAGCACAAAGGACGCTATGGTTCTATTTATTTTTGACACATGTAAACAAGTTCATACAATTTAACACAGGCAAAAGCTACCTGGAGGGAACTTAGTCTTTTACCTGCAAGAGAGCCCTTCCTGCCAGCATTTACTCGGGTCATGATGTCACTGAGGGTCAGGTCTCCTGTCAAAAGGTCCGGGTGATCCTAGATGTGATATTCAGAGATTTGGTTAAGGAGGCCCAAAAAGGGATTAAAAACTGATAGGGACTATGCCAATTTACCTAGCAGATACAATTAGATGTCAGGTACACATGACAAAATCATACTGAATTTAAAACATTAAAAAACTGAATTTAAATTATTTTAAAATTTAAAATAATGGTACACAGGAAAACCCAGTCTTGGCTTTCCCGTGTACAGCATTTCAATCCATAAAGCTCCTCTGCATCCCTTGTCTCCTGCGCTCTTTAAATAATTCTGTTCACACTACTGTATTTTAAATAATCCTGTTCACACTGCTGTATTTTAAATAATCCTGTTCACACTGCTGTATTTTAAATAATCCTGTTCACACTGCTGTATTTAAAAGTCTGGAAACAGAGTTCAGAGAAGTTAAGGGACCTGCTTGATATGGGAGAAAATGGAGAAGACACAAAGAACTCAGTTCTGACTTCCCACATGGTACTCTTCCCATCTCACCCCTGCCTCACACAAGCTCTTTTCTCCACACTATACTCTCTGGCTTGGTGCTACCTCAATTTGGCTGAGTGAACAAAAAACTAAATTCTCCCAAAACTAATGAACCAATAAAGAAATGGGCAAGTGAACTAAACAGAACTTTCTCAAAAGAAGAAATTCAAATGGCCAAAAAACACATGAAAAAATGCTCACCATCCCTAGCAATAAAGGAAATGCAAATTAAAACCACACTAAGATTCCACCTCACCCCTGTCAGAATAACCATCATTAGCAACACCAATAACAACAGGTGTTGGCGAGGATGCTGTGGGGGGGACGGAGGCGGAGCGGGGGAGAGGAACCCTCTTACACTGCTGGTGGAAATGTAAACTAGTACAACCACTCTGGAAAAAAATATGGAGGCCTCCTAAAAATCTAAACATAGATCTACCGTATGATCCAGCAATACCACTCTTGGGGATATACCCAAAAGACTATGACACAGGTTACTCCAGAGGCACCTGCACATCATGTTTATTGCGGCACTATTCACAATAGCCAAATTATGGAAACAGCCAAGATGCCCCACCACTGACGAATGGATTAAGAAAATGTGGTATCTATACACAATGGAATTTTATGCAGCCATGAAGAAGAATGAAATGTTATCATTCGCAGGTCAATGGATGGAACTGGAGAACATTATTCTGAGTGAGGTTAGCCTGGCCCAAAGACCAAAAATAGTATGTTCTCCCTCATATGCGGACATTAGATCAAGGGCAAACATCACAAGGGGATTGGACTTTGAGCACACAATAAAAGCGAGAGCACACAAGGGAGGGGTGAGGATAGGTAAGACACCCAAAAAAATAGATAGCATTTGTTGCCCTCAACGCAGAGAAACTAAAGCAGATACTTTAAAGTGACTGAGGCCAATAGGAGAAGGGACCAGGAACTAGAGAAAAGGCTAGTTCGAGAAGAATTAACTTAGAAGGTAACACACACGTACAGGAAAGCAATGCGAGTCAACTCCCTGTATAGCTATCCTTATCTCAACTAGCAAAAACCCTTGGTCCTTCCTATTACTGCTTATACTCTCTCTTCAACAAAATTAAGAGATAAGGGCAAAATAGTTTCTGCCTGGTAGCGAGGGGTTGGAGGGGTAAGGGAGGGGGCGGGGGGAAGGGGGGAGAAATGACCCAAATATTGTATGTACACACGAATAAAAAAAAAATTTGGCTGAATGGAATAATGGAGTCAATGAAAAGTGGGGAAACCACAGGATCTGATGCTTGGCTCTGCCACTTACTGGCTGCAGAACCAAGGACAAGCTGATTATTCTCTGAGCACAGACAACATGAAGATAACAACTCATTCATAAACCAGTGTCATCATAAAGACTGAAGCAGACACTGTCAAGCATGCTTCATAAAGTCAAAGCACTTGTGGAATCTCACATCTTTGATGCTGACTAGTCTCTGGTTACTCCTCTTCCTTAGCAATGATAACAAGGAAATACAAATGAGGTGGTGACTACCTGCTATCTTACTCAAAATAGAAAAACCACAGACTGGCCTGAAAACCATGCATGACCATTCCCATCCCAATCTTACTGGTTGATGTTTCCGCTTCTCATGGTGCTTCTTTAACATTGTCTTCAGGTCACTGTCTCCCAGTTCTATTTTATCTGAGAGAAAAGGAACCACCACATGGACTAGGTCATTCACTATGATGATGCTCTAATTTAAATCTCAGTCACTTGGAGCATTCTGACTGTGTACAACAAGTACCAAAAATCTTTAGTCATAGGATCAGCACTTCCACTTTTCTATACACTTACCAATACATGTCTCTGGTTACTTAGCTAGTCTAAAAACATACTACATCTTCTCAACATTGTCCTTTGGTTACCATTTCAAACAGATTCTTCTCCAATTTCACAGATAGTCTAAGGAATTGCTATGGTTCTGGTTACCCATTCTATTACCGAATTCTCCCCTACTGTAATTATTTCAAGATTTTGCTTTCTATAGCCCCAAATACCAGCTGATCAGCTCCTGACAATTTTCAAAACAAAGGAAAAAAGTTAGAATTGCCTCTACCTGTAAAAATGTGCAATGGTATACAAATTTCTCTAAATCACTCACTTTCTAAGGAGCACTGCCATTTCCTAGCAAGTAAAACTCCATCCCCACCTCCCTTCAAAAGATCTCACTTTTACACTGCAATTTCCCCAAACAGCAGCAAAATCCGTTCACAGTTCTCACCTGCAGTTTTCATATCCGTGGTGGAAAGCGTGGGCACCACCCTCAGGGGCACCGCAGGACTAGGAGAACGTGCTGGAGAGCTTGGAAGCCATGAGCTGAGATCTTCAAAAGAAAATTTTTCTTGTAAATCCAACGTGGCTGTGGACTCCAATAGGGGAGACTGGGTAAGTGGCCATTTGGGTTCAACAGGGCTAAGCCAACAACATGGAGGCCAGGGTTCCACATTTCTTTCTGACCCTTCCCCAGATGAGGTGGAGCACACTTAGATCATTTAAACGGCTCTTCCAGGAGAGAGACTTCAACAGAGTGATGGGGTCGCATTGCAGCAGGCCAACAGTCACTACTACTCTCCTGTAAGGGGAAAAGCAGTTCTCTCAAGTGGCACAATGGGACCAGAAGACCTACTGTGGAGAGACCCTGCTCTGCAGGGATCCATCCAAGAGGTTCTCATCTAATTCAAGTGCCACATGAGCACAGGGGTAAAGAGGGCATGGAGACACTCCCACCTGACAGCAATGTCTCAATGACTCAAAGACTAAGGGCCAATGAGTCCCACTCTCCACCCCCCAAGACAAGACAACTTGGAGAGCTTCTTTACCAGAAGATAAATGGTTACCACTTGCTCCAATACCCCAATTACCCTAAAGTGCCCAAGAATGCTCACCCTCTTCATCAGAGGACAGTGCTGTGTCGCCACACTCCTCTTTCACTTCCCTCAAGACCTTCAAATAGCGCTGCTGGGTCCGCCACTCCCGCTCCTCAGGGCTGTGGGATGGCGAAGACCGCTTCTGCCGGAAGGGAAGGGCCGGGCCACTCCTGCGGGCCGTCTCTAACAGATCCTAGGAGATCAGATTGGAGTGCATGTCATCATCAAAGCTGCTCTCTGTACAATCTGTTTCTTCAAAGGTAAAAAAATTTCCCCACCAGATCACACACAAACAAAAAAGATGTAGATGTGAGTATGTACAAATAAAAAGGGCCTACACTGATTACTGGTTGAGTATCCCTAATACAAAAATCCAAAATCTGAAACTTTATGAATGCCAAAGTGACAACACAGATGGAAAATTACACACCTGACCTCATGTAACAGGTTGAGGTGAAAACAAAAGCACACTAACCCAGTACCGCCAAAAACAACAAAAAAAACCCCAAAAGCATACTAAAAATAACTGCATAAAATTACTTTCAGGCTATGTGTATAAGGTGTATGTGAGACATAAGTTAATTTTGTGTTTAGACTTGGGTCCCATACCAAGATACCTCACTATGTACATGCAAATATTCCAAAGCCTGAAGAAAAATCTAAAATTCAAAACACTGCTGGTTCCAAGCATTTCAGAGAATACTTAGCGCGTATGACATGGTTAAAAAATCCCAAATCTGAGCACTGAATTTCTCCATTGTGAATGACTTAGACTAAACATTAAAGAACTTCTATACTGAAGCTTAAAGAATCTCTTAAAGAACTCAGAACAACTTTGCCTTTGAGAATTACCAGCCTGGGAGAGACCCAGAAATCACTGAGCTCTCTTGTCCACACATGCGTCACAGAATTTAGAGGCTTCTGCACACAGGCACTTCAGTTCCAACACATCCTGGTTTTTCTCAATAACCCACAATGGATCTGAAACCCATTTGTTTTCTTAGTAAATGCCGAACACACTATTTCTTGTTAATTTTATGAAGCACATTCTTTTTCATGTTGTAACATCTAAGATAAGAATATATCTTAAAATTGATTATAAGAAAATATACAGCTTAACTGTGTCATGGCAAGGCACTTTTTTTAAATTAGTGGGACTGAGGTTTGCACTCAGGGTTTCCCACTGATAAAATAGGTACTCTATGGCTTGAGCCACATCTCCAGTCCATTCTGCTCTAGTTATTTTGGAGATGGGCTCATGAACTATATGCCCAGGCTGGCCTTGAATGGCAATCCTCCCAGTCTCAGCCTCCCAAATAGCTAGGATTACAAGCATGCACCACCACACCCCGCTGACAGCACTTCTTTTCTAAGTGGTATCTTTTGTATCACTTGAGTTTACTGACCACATTCTATATATCCAGTATCCAGCACTACTTACACTCCGGGAGGCAAGAATCTGCTTTAGCAGTCGATGGAAGTACTGCTGCTGAGAGTTGAGGTACCGCTTGTACTGTGACTTGAAGCATAACTGCCGATACTTGACCACCTCAGGGTTAAAGTGTCCATCTTAAAAAAATAGAGGCACAACTGCATTTGCATCAGTCCACACATATCTAATGAGTGTTTAAGATGTGGTTGTAGCACAGATGTAAAGAAAAAACTGACTAAGAGAATGAGAAAAAAGAACCAAAAGTAAAAAAATGCTGAAAACAACATAGCTCAATTATGGGCTGATAACCGTAATAGTCACAGTAATGTCATCATCTTCAACAAAACTAGAGTTAAAATATGGCACTACTCAGTGAAATACAGAGCAATTTCTGACTTTGACCTTCCTTGCTTGTATATTCACCAGAGTTTGGGAGAAGCATTTCAGCCCTGCTGACAGTACTAATACCATACAGTCCCATACATAATCCTCTAAATCCAACCAGCTTTTCCACTTGTTTCCATAAGAAAGGAAGGCAGTGTATTTCTACCTGAGGCCTCACATTCAATGAAACAGATCTCTGCCAACCACAGAAGGCAGTTCTTCTTTAAACTAATAACCCATTAAAGGAGGGAATGCAGTTGGGCACAATGACACATCTGTTGCCCCAGCTACTCTGGAGGCTGAAGCAGGAGAACCATGAGAATTCCATGAGGAATTCAGGGCCAGCCTGAACAACATAGCAAGACCCTGTCTCTTAAAAAGCAAAAGGGGCTGGGGATGTAGCTCAGTGGAACAGCACTTACCTAGCATGCATAATGACCTAGGTTTGAGTCCCAGAACTACAAAAATTAAAATGAGGATACTAATTTTAAATCCTTAAAATAATAACAGATTTGAAATGGCCTGCTCTTTCTAGTCTTTTGCAACTGTCAAGTTGTCCAGTTTAACACAACTCAAAGCTGTTTGGGGTCATGATGCCAAAATACAGTCACCCCAGAAAGGGGGAAGGAGGGTAAAATTGAGACTTATTAAAAGTTGTCCCAAATCATTTTACAACCCAAGAAGTAATAAGTGGTTCAGAAAAGAATCATCACCACTGAAGCAAAAAAAAAAAAATATATATATATATATATATATATATATATATAAAGACTTTAGAGAAATAAGATTATTGCTTGATCCCAATGTATCACCTGACAAATTGCTTAATTATGGGGTGGGGGGGGAGAATATGCCCTTACAATCAAGAGGTCTGGCAGCAACCACTTAACCAAATCACACATAGCCCTTACCAATGACCAAAAATTGACACCATCTGCCTCCTGAGATGACACAATAGGAGGGACATTTCTCAGGTAGCATCCTTGCCAAAAGAACTTGACTCAAACCTAATCATAAAGCAACAAGACGACATATTCCCAGAAAGCAGGATACTGTACAATTCAAGTGTCCTGGACCCTCAAAAATACCAGTGTCTTGGGCTGGTGGAGTGGCTCAATGGTAGAGCACTTGCCTAGCAAGTGTAAGGGCCTGAGGTCAAACCCCAGTACCACCAAAAAAAATAAAAATAAGAAAAAACAAAAAAAAACCAGTGTCTAGAAAGACAGTCAAAAAGGGCAGAGTATACTCTATTCAATGAGCTAAAGAAACATAAGACCCAAACATACCATAGATACTGATCCCTGAATGGATCCTGGATTTAAAAAGCAACAAAGGACATTTCAGGAACAATTAAAATCATATGAACATGGAATATCCCATAACATGGACATAAAATTTCTCAGCTAAGGGAAATGTGATTACATGGGAGAACATTCTTGTTAAGATACACATGTTGCTAAGCACCAGTAGCTCACACCTGTACTCCTAGCTACTCAGGAGGCAGAAGGATTCCAGTTCAAAGCCACTGGGGCAAACTGTTCGAGACCCTATCTTGGAAATACCCGACACAAAATGGGTTGGCAGAGTAGTTCAAGTGGTAGAGCATCTGCCTAGCAAGCACCAGTACCACCAACAAAAAAAAAAAAAAAAAAAAAAAAGAGAGAGGGAGAGACATATGTTGAAGTGCTTGGTGGTGAAATGTCATGTTTTTGTGCAGGAAGAAAAAGCAAATAACAAGCTGAGTTCAAACCTCAGTACTGCAAAAAAAAGAAAAAAAAAAGTGAAATGTATTCCACGTAAGACTATATAAAAAAAGCATTTATAGCCAGGTGCCGAGCTCATGCCTGTAATCCTAGCTACTCAGGAAGCAGAGATCAGAAGGACTGAGGTTCAAAGTTAACCCTGAGCAACAGTTTGAGTGATCTGATCTCCCAAAAACCCTTCACAAAAAATTGCAGGTGGAGTGGCTCAAAATGTAAGAGCTCCTGCTTCGCAAATGTGAGGACCTGAGTTCAAACCCCAGTGCCAGAAAAAAAGAAAAAAAAAGCTTAAAGACCAGCATAAAGAAGACCTCTAGGATGCTGGTTAAGTTTTATTTCTTGTTCTGGGTGGTGGTATAAAGTTGAATTTATATTATGTATTTTTCTATGTAAGTCAATCAAATCTTACTTTTAAAAAAAAAAAATAGCACAGTGTTGATCCATCCACAGAAATACCCAGGGGTGAATTTTTTTTTTTCTAAAAACAAAGTGAATGCTCCAAATGGCTCTCAGTTTTCTAAATATTTCCATGGACCATTAAAAAACAATATATATATACATAAATAAAATGTTTAATATCATTTTTTGAAAAAAACTTTCTCCGCATGTGCTTGACATGTGGAAAATATTAACTCGAAATCAAAATAGAAAAGCAGTTGTTTTCTCATTAACTAAGGTCAACAGCTTCATCTGCCAAAGGATTCTAAATAAAAGATTGGAGCAAAAAATCTAAATCCTGACAGTGTGATGTAGATAACATGCTCTTCGAACTGCTTGATTACGAGTGAATACCAAATCTAACAGGGACATGAAGGGATCAGTTTTTTTCAAATGATTTAGAATTTATCCCAGATCAAAACTAAATATATGTGGTAGTCTTGATCACTAAATAAAATATATCTCATTCATGCAAAAAAAAAAAAAAAAAGCACAGGCAGCAAAGTATTACACCAAACCACTCTCTGCTGGATCAGTATCTGTACATAGAAATGAATACAATACAACAAAGAAAGGGGTACCCACATAAGTAAACATGCCCCTACCCCTACCCTACCAAAAACAGAACACTGAGTTACAGACCTCGGAAAAGCTTCTGGGCAATGTGCAGAGGGTTTCCAAAGCGGAAGTTTTCCCCACTGAACAGGGAAAGGATAAGCCCGTTCTGCTGCTCCACACTGTCCACAGGAAAATGAGGCAGAAACTGCTGGAGGTGCTCACGCTGGGAGTCACTTAGTACTTCCTGCCACGTTGAAAGGCTGACGACATCAAAGAATATCTCAGGCTAGGAAAATTTAGGGAAAAAAGTTAATAGATAAATACATGTTTAAGTGTGTGTGTAGTAAAATATATGTAACATAAAATTTGCTATTTTGATATTTTTAAATGTACCAGCCAGTGATTTTATGTACATTCACATTCGTTGTGCAATCATTCTAGCTTAAGCTGTCAAAACTAAAATGGCAGTATGGAAATACCACAACGAAACCCTTTTGTACAGTTTACACTAATATATATATTTAAAAAAAAAAAAAGTCTGGGTATGGTGGCCTACAATTCCAGCTACCTGGGAAGTAAAGATTGAGAGGACTGCAGTTCAAGGCTGGCCAGGCAAAAAGTTAGCATGACCCCATTTCAATTAATAATCCAAGTGTGGTGGTGCGTTCCAATGATCCCAGCTTCACAGGAGGCTTCACAGGTAGGACAATCAAGATCTGAGGCCAACCCCAAGCAAAAATGTGAGACCCACATCTGAGGAATAACTAAAGGAAAAAGGGCTGGGAACATAGCTTAAGTAGTAAAGCACCTGCCTGACACAGGTGAGGCCCTGAGTTCAAACATAAAAAATAAAATTCAAATGACCTTTATTAATTCTCAAAAATTAGAAAAGATGACACATAAGCCACACTAACAGTACATAATAATACAGAGGAAAATTATCTCAGTAGAGAGAAGCCCATCTGGAAGCCATCCCTGCCAATAATAGTAGGATGGAGGATACCTGCATCCAGCTTAAACAGGGTAGCAGGAAAAAGTTAACATGAGAGGAAAGAGCTTGAGGAGCTGAGGTCACCTGCTAACAGGGAGAAGCAGCAGGAGGGAGTTCATTTTCAACTCACTAGTTATATATTGGATATATATTCATACTAAGCTAGACTGGCATATGTATATCTGGAGGGGCAACAATGAAACATACAATGTAGTTTAAGAAGTACTGATTCATACAGAAGCATACAGCATAGAAAAGATCCACTAGAGACAGGGATAAGATAGTTAAAGGGCTAGGAAAAAGATGGGAAAAGGGTTAGAAATCCACAGACTAAAGCCATAAAAACAAAAGAAAGGACAGCAAAGTACACAAAACAAGAGGAATTACCGGTGGGGGAAATGGAGAAGGATAAGATGGAGATAGGGTACACAGAGGCTTAAATGCTATTGGTAGTGCTATTATCCTATTGGTGGCTATATGCATGTTTTTAGGGTCTTTTTTTTTTTTTTTTCCCCCAGCACTGGGGTTTGAACTTGGGGCCTACACCTTGAGCCACTCCACCAGCACTCTTTTTTTTGTGATGGGTTTTTTTCTAGATAGGGTCTCACAGACTATTTGCCTGGGTTGGCTTTGAACCACAATCCTCCTAATCGCTGTTTCCTGAGTAGATAGGATTATAGGTGTGAGCCACTGGTGCCTGTCTATAAACGCAATTTATGTAGTCTTATTATGTGTAATACATTTCACTTTTTTTTTTTTTTTAATTTTTTGGCAGTACTGAGGTTTGCACCCAGGGCTTTGCTCTTGCTAGGCAGGTGTTCTACCACTTGAGCCACACCCCAAGCCCACATTTCACCTTTAATTTAAAAAAAAAAAAAAAAAAATCAGTCAATGTCTGAGTAGAGCAAGAACAGAGAGGGTAGGCAAGCCAGTAGATAGCAGAGGAGAAAAGGACTTATAAAACTGTTAGGTAGCTGTGACTTTATCCTAAAGATAAAGGAGAGCCAGAAAGTGTCTCTAAACAGGAGCAAACTCAGTGATCCAAACACCTGCCAGACAGCTTTGCATGAACAGACCAAAAGCACTCAGACACAATGTCCAAGATCTTCTCCTCAAAACTTATTTTTTGCACAGCATTTTATCCCTAGCATCTAACTCAGTGTTTGACATAGAGCAAGCACTTAATAAGATAAGCATTTGCTGACTACATAAATGACAAAGGTTCCTTGAAAGAGTATGCAAATATGGATGGGACTAGACAACACAGCCTGACCCCATCACAAAAGGAAAAAAAAAAAAAAAAAAGAATGGGAAATATATATAACAACTGCCTACAGTTGCTGCTGCAGTAGGAGGAAGGATCAGAGAAGGGCACAATGGCAGCTTTCATTTTATCTAGAATATTTGACATATTATGGAAGAATCTGAAAGAAATATAACTAAATGAAATTATCTCCTAAAACTAGGTGACACACAGGTATTTGCTTACTCTATACCAGTCTTTATTTTCAAGATATGGCAAACAAAATATATGCTGCTTAAATCAATGTTTTCATATATAGTTCCTTGCACATAAGCCACCTTAATAATGATGATCGGACATCGTGCCTGTGAAAGTGGTCAAAGGCAAGCTAACATCCTATCCCA